GAGCTTCATGCCTTCGAAGCCCTAAGAAATCGTTGACAAGATGCAGCCTGGAGTTGGGGTTACCAAGATCTCAGGGAACGAATAGTCAATTGTGTGGCAACCGTCCCCCCAGACATGCTCGCCAGAACATGGGAAGAGGTAGAATTCCGTTTAGGCGTCTGCCGTGCCACTAACGGGGCTCATATAGAACTTTACTAAGTGTTAAAAAAAACTTGATAATGTAAGCTTTTCAGTCATGTATAAAACATGTATGTATGTTTTTTATTTCATTAAAATATTTTGCCTCAAAACACCGGAGTTCTTTTATAGACACCCTGTATAATGTAATACTGTGGCTCCCAGTATTCTTTGAATAAAATGTTAAGTTAAACAAAACAACTATATCTTTTAACAATCTAAATGCTCAGCTTATGATTTTATCAATTCTTGATTTTTTTTTTGTGCTCATTTTGGAATTGTTACTGGAAGCTAAATGTAAAAATGAATTAATTTTTATCTTACTAAATAAGATTTATACCCAAGCAGAAATATTCATTTCAATGTATTTCTTCAATAGTATTTTTTTTAAAAAACTATTCCGGATGTATTGGAGCTTTGATTTTACATATATGGTTTTTTAGTTTAGTTCAATATATATATGTATATAACGTCGTTGCCGAGTGGAAGGATTAAAATAGGTCTTAGGCAGGGAAGGAGGGTACAAAATTTATTTATTAATTATTAGTCAGAGCAGTCATGAAAGTGACACGAAAAGTTGCGCTCCTCGGTTATATGTTAGGGAAGATCTTGCAAAGTAAATCCGTAAAATTTTTCAATTTAGGAAAAGAGGGAAATCTTAGTAATTGCTATTGGTTTATGAAATAGGTCGAGTGATTCCCACAGAGAGCAAAGGGAAAAATATCCTGCCTTTAATTAAATGCATGCTTGAGCCAAAAATAGATTTAGGGACAGGATGTGGCTTTTAAAAGTGTGAGAAAGTATTTCGATTAGAATAATTAATTAGGATGACATAAAAAGATTAATAGAAGCTTTTTATGTTAATATATATATATAATAAAATTAGATATTGGTACATATTTGTTGCAAAAATAAAAGATATTTTAATTTCTTTTACGTATATTCTAAAATTATATTTATTATCATGCTGTTACAGGATTAAAACACGTAAAAGGTATATTATTGTATGGACCTCCTGGAACTGGTAAAACATTAATGGCTCGTCAAATCGGAAATATGCTGTATGCAAGAGAACCTAAAATTGTTAATGGACCACAGATTCTAGATAAATATGTTGGTGAATCAGAAGCCAATATTCGTAGATTATTTGCTGATGCCGAGGAGGAGGAAAAACGGGTATGTTTATATTACTTTAATTGCATCGATTATTTAGAAATATGCCTATTACTGGTGCATTTATTTCCACATTAACATCTTATGCTATTGTTGCTTTGAATAAATTAGCATGTTTCTTAATTAATTATTTATTTATTTATTTTTTTTAGCTTGGGCCAAACAGTGGTTTGCACATAATTATATTTGATGAGATTGATGCTATTTGTAAGGCAAGAGGATCTGTGGTGAGTGTCTTTTTTTATTTCTTAAAATCTTATATAGTAGTATCTGCTATGTGATCAGTTTTGGACACAATTGGATTTTGATAACATAAACTGATTGATAGCAATAAACGAATTACAAAACTAAATGAGTCTGTTAGTTTTAGCCACACTTACTGAGTTTGAAAATAAAATTAAAATATAAAAATCATATGTAATAAAAAAAATCATAAATTGTTGATTGTTTGCAATTTGTCCTAAGCTCATTTATAAATTGTTTGTAATCGTGATGTTTTTTAAAGTCCTCAGAGTGGTATCATCAACATTTTCCTTGCATTCCTCATTTCAGCTTTAGTTGGAATTGACCAATTTTTTGGTAGAACTGCCACTTTTTTTTTATCTCCATGATAATCTGGAAAACTTCTGATTCTGTTAATATGGAAGCTTAGAGATATTTTCATCTTGAACTCTTGATATTTCATATTTAAAGTTGTTCTAATATTTTTGAACAACAGCATAGGACTTTTTCTTTTTGCTCGTCATCACAGCACCATTTTGCTTATACTCTGTATTTTAACTGTGTTTTTTTTTTTTTTTTTTTTTTTTTTTTTTTTTTTTTTTTTTTTTTTTTTTNTTTTTTTTTTTTTTTAAATAATTATCACACTACTTTTCAAAATTTTGCAAAAGTAGTGGTTGAGAAATGTTTACTGTATTGTGGTATTGCATTGACTCATTTTTGGTAAATCTGTGACAATAATTTAAAATGCAAATCTTTTATTTTTGAATAAGTTTGCTTTCTCCTATTCATATCATCAAATTTTAGATTTAATAATGAAAAATTGTGCATGAAATAGCCATTCAATGTTTATTTTAAAAGAGCTTAACAAAAATGAAAATAACTACTCGTCGCTCGGGGAGTCACCAAAAAAAGAGAAAAAAATGGTGATATAAATAAACAACTGGTTACTTTTTCCAGTCTTTTTTTTAATTTTTTATTAATTGTTTAATGGTATAAGTTCATTAGTGTAGAAAAAGACTGAAAAACAAAATTTTCCTACAAGTTTTCAATGTCTTCATTCAAAAGAATCTCAGAATCCATCAATTTATGGTGGAAAGATTCACGTGGAAGATTCCTGTGGATCGTGTATTTTAAAATTGTTATGTATGCATTAAATATATTTTGTCTAACCAATTTTTTTTTATTTGAGTTCTTTAAAGTTAATATGTAATTTTAATATATAATTTTGCCATTATTAACTTTTTGTAGTTGTAAATAGTTTCTAATATGATTATTATTATTATTATTATTTTTGAAAGATAATTTTATCTCAGAAAAAAAAGAGTTTTAAAAAGTAACTATTAAAGGAAAAGGACCTCTTGCTATGAGAAACTGACTCATAGAATTCGAGAAAAGTAACTATTAAGTTGTTACAGTCTACAGGTCACTGACTACAAAGTTTCAAGTCTAAATTTTACAAAAAGATATTCATTTGTATGCATCTTTATTGTTCAAATTTGTGAAATTCTGAAATATGACTAAGACATATTAAAATTTGATAATGTACTCTTTCTTACTCTTTTGNTTTTTTTTTTTTTGCAAAACAGGCTGGAAATACAGGTGTCCATGATACAGTTGTAAATCAGTTATTAGCCAAAATCGATGGTGTGGAATCTTTAAATAATATTTTAGTCATTGGAATGACTAATCGTAAAGATATGATTGATGAAGCCTTAATAAGATCTGGTAGATTAGAGGTACATATGGAAATAGGTAAATACCTGTATTGATTGAGTGCTATTTTTATGTTCAATCAAGTAATTGATTCATTGCAATAATTTTAATTATATTTTATTAAATAATTAAAATTAAAAGTTATTTTGTTTTGTTTTAAACAAAGTAAATTCTCTGTATAGTCATATAATGGTGGCCTATTAAATGGTGTAAATATTTTTTATATATTTGTTTGTAAGGAAGAGTGGAGTGAAATCGGGAAACTCTATTGTGGTGATATTAGTTTCGCTTTTTAGCAGACAGGCTGAATTATTCTACTAACTAGGTAAGAAGAAGGTGTTGTTGTTGGATTCATGGTGTCTATGTAGATAAGTTTGTTTCACTGTGTGAACTCTCTAATTTTCTTTTGTTTTTTAACATCTCTTATCTATTGGTCATTGCTGTTATAAAAAATCTTTTTAGTCCTGCTTATTAGAAATTTACTGAAGATTCATAGCCTAACAGATAAAAAGTCCACCAGCAGCATGGTTCTGTTTTGTTCATTGTTCAGTGTATCAAGAACCAATATAACAAAACAGTTTTATCAACAAAAAAAAAGCTATTATACCTTTAAACTAAAATATTTTCTGAACTGAAGCAATATTTATTTATATCAAAATCATTTTAAAATGTGTTAATTCATTCATTTAAATGAGTAATTTTATTTCCTACAAGTAATTTCTATCTTCAAGGTAAGCGCAACATTCATGACCACAAAGCATATTAATAAGAATTTTTTTCCCCTTTGATACTCAATGTAAATACCAAAGAAATCTTTCACTTTCTTTGGTTTTTATATTGAGTAAAAAATTAATTTTTGTAATAAGTTTTTTAAAAAATTTTAAAGCTCAGAAAATAGGAAAAATTTGTTTCTACATATTCCTAAGAAGTTAAAAGATTAACAGTTAATTGTTAAAAAAGTGAGTCATTTGGGTTTTAAAACCAAAAACGTTAATCACTAGGTTTAGATAGAGCCCAATTTAGTTGGTGTTTTACGAAACATAAATTGGACAAGAAAGTTACTATTTTCCTAAGGAATGATTAGTTTCTTTGAGCAATAATAAGGCTATTAGGTACGATTAGAGCGATAATAAAGGACTATTAGGTACACTCAGTAACGCAAAAGATGCTTTATTGTGTATGGAGCAAATTTGGCTGCCATTTGGATGTTTGCCATGCAACAAAGGAGGAACACTGAATATTTATACTTTCAATTTACATTTTTTTTTATCGTTCTGAAATTTTTCTTATTCAATATATAGTACATTAAATATGAATTAATTAAAATGAAACCATCATTTTAAAGATGCATGTTTTAGTTTTACATTAGGTGTGATTATATTGCAGTTGTGTTTACTAATTTAAATTTAAAAAGTTTCTTTGTGATAAAATTAATATGAATACAAATTTAATATGGAAAGAATGTGAATAAGAAAGTAATATCTTTATGTATATGTGTTCTTTTGGTTGTTACAAAAATTTTTCAATTTAGGTTTGCCTGATGAAAAGGGTCGACTTCAAATCTTTAACATTCATACTGTTCGAATGCGGGATCATGAAAAATTAGCAAAAGATGTAGATTTAGGTGAATTAGCTGCTTTGACAAAGAATTTTTCAGGGGCAGAAATTGAAGGGCTAGTGAGAGCTGCACAATCTACTGCTATGAACAGGCTAATAAAAGTTAGTGCTTTTAAAATTTCATGTTTCTTATTCAAATTTTAACTATTCACTTGAGTCCCTATATTTTTTTCCTTAATGTTTTGGAAGTACAGTACAAAAGTCCCATATCTGAACGTCAATTTTCCAGACACTTTTTCACAATCAAAACGAAACAGATCTGTTTTTCAAATAATAATAATAAATAAATATAATTAATAAAATGAAATCTAATTTTCTTGGTTTTACAATATTTATATGTTAAAAAGAAGTATAATTTTTTTTTTTTAAAAAGGACTTTCTGCTTTTGCTGCTTTTTCAATAACTAAGCATTTATTCTGTTTCAAAAGGCACACTAAAAGAGATGTTAAAATGACAAAAGTAGTATAAGAAAAACAAACCTTGGTGAGAACTATGAATGTAAATGAAGCTGAATATTTATAGTGTGAAACTGAATAAAAAAGAGCACCAAACAAGCTTTGTTTTTCATTTTATAAAAAAAAAACGGAAAAAACTTTTGATCCAATGAATGGATTTTAATAAACTATAAAGCAATTTTTTTGGTTTGAGTGACAGAACGTAACTGTGTTAATTAATTAGTACTGACAACATTTTAAACCATAAAAGGGAAACATTTTTTCTGAAAAAAACATACCTTTCTCTTACACTTTCAAAATAGGAAAGGTTTAAGTAAATTTTAAATGTATGGTCTTATCGTGTAAGTTAAGAGTAATTAAAAATTTTAGTACTCTTTGTTAGTTTTACTTTTTCCATATTTTACTATTTAAATGAATCAAAAAATTTGTTCTCATTATTGTAAAATTAGTTTATCTAAAAACAATTTCTGATAATTTAAATATTAATGTTAAAAAAATTTTAATTATGATGTATGAATATCTGGTGCATGATACTAAACCCTTAGAGCAGATGAAACTGTTGCCATACTTAGAGTTTAAAAGATCTATCTGTTTAATTTTAAACAAAAGAATGGATATATTCCACCTATCTCTCTCTCTTTTAATAAATGTTCAAGTGTTAAATTTAACTTTAGTAATTGTTAAATTGAAAATTTATATTAAAAAAAGCATTAGAAAAATAAGAATCGGATTGGTGTAATATAGATAAATTTGTTGAACCAGTATCAGTTAAAATAATCCTTGAGGTTCTAAAAAAATCCTTAAGATTCTAAGAAAAGATAAAAGAATTATTATTAAATAAAATATTACATTCTGTGGAATCTATGAACATGATTGTTCAAAAAGTCGACAGTCATATGATTGTTTTCATTTTAAAAATTGAAGTTATTAGGAGTGGGCTTCACCAGTTTCACATCAGGAATATCGTCTGTTTTACATCTTCTTAATTTCAAATTTATCCAAAATCTGAACGAAATTGGGATTGTTGCAATAATAATTTAAAAACACAACTTTTTTCAGTTAATTATGTAATAAATTTCAAATGCTGTATTGAAATAGACAGTAAATTTGGATGTTAAAATAGGCACTAAAATAACTTAACATCTATTAGTCATTGGTTAGGATTAACCATTATAAAATAGATGAGGTAAACTGGGGTAGAAATTTTGTAATACAGTGGAAAGTCGCTTATCCAGAATCAGTGGGACTTCCGGAAGTCCGGATAATAGATTTTCGTATAATAGACCCCCCAAGGTAAACAAAACTTATAATGATCTAATGAACGATCTGAATCAAAGAAGCAAAAAATAAATTATCATTATTTGTTGGGCAATAATATTTTAGTATTAGAATGATATCTAATCAATCAAAAATAAAATATTAGAGAAAAAAAAATTATTGCTTAAGATATAGAAAGCTAAAAAAATTTGACATTTATGAAAATATTAATTGCTCTCTTCGCTATTTTGAACTAGAACGATTCAAGCAAGAAGCGGAAATTCACGTTACTCATTAAGGTGGGTAGATGTAGGAGAAAAATTCATTTCCTCCTTATTTGTGAGAGAAAATATGTGTAAAGAGAAGATCGTTCAAGTTGAGGGCGGGGAAGTGACAAATTCTTATTTTTTCTGATCATTGGCTCTCAATCAAGCGTAAAGGCATGGCATGCTGATTGGGTTCTCGTTATTTTTTCTTGTGTGTGTGTGGTTTGAGATAAAGGGGCTTTCGTTAGTCAAATTCATATTTCAGTAGAAGGGAGTCTTGAAATCATTTTCATGTCAATGCTAAAGAAGAAATGTTACCCTTTTTTTCCCTCGTCCTAAATATCAGCGGGAAGAACGAATGTTTCTCAAGGATGCGTATCCTTTTAGACCTATTCAAATTTTCAATTTTGACGCCCCCTCCATGTTAACATTTGCCGCGTTTACCCTCTTCCACAGTATTTCTTCTTTCCCTAACACTCTGATAAAAAGGTTCCAGGAAATGCCTCTTTTACTAGTCAGCTGCATAGGAAGGAGGGGACTCAGTTGCGCTCTTTTGAAAACAAATCTCCCTCTCTTCCTGCATTCCAGAGGAGGAGCGTCACTAACGTTCACTCGACGGTCTTGGTAGATCTTCTTCCCTTTCTGCTGATTTATGGGTTCAATGCATAAATCACTAGAAGCTAGAAAAGGAGAAAACGTGTCAAAAGACCTCTTATTTTTGTTAAGAGGGGAAGATGAAGAGATGTTTGTTTATTTTGATTGCTAAAAAGTGTGCAGGAAAACGACCCTTCCGGATATGGGTTGTTACACTGTATATATATTTAGTACTGAAACTTTTCCAGATTGCAATTTTAAAGTAAAGTAATATGATTATAATATTATTAAAATGTATTTTCAGGCATCAAGTAAAGTTGAATTGGATCCTGATGCCACAGAAAAGATTAAAGTGACCAGAGAAGACTTTTTACATGCTTTGGAGAATGATATTAAACCTGTAAGAAGAATTTATTATTTTCAAACATTTATCCGTGTGTCATAACTTTTCAAAATAATATCGCACGCCTAACGTTTTTATTTAATGTTTTAATTACAATTCTGAAATTCTGATAGTTATTATACAATTTGAGTTATTTTTAGGATATTGGATATGGTTTTTAAAAAACAATTTTTTAAACTTTTATATAAGTACAAAACAGGAAATTGAAATATTTTTTTAATAATTTATTGCTTTATAATTTAAAGTTTTCAGGCACATTGGGAAGCAAGGAGAATCATGAAACAGGAAAATTCCGTGGAAATTCATAAATTTGGGGAAAACCAGGAAAATACAAGGTCCGGCTATTAATTTCCAGGACTGAGGTAACTGTAGGAGAAAGAAAAGCCGGAATATGGCGCTAATGATTGCATATTGAAGAGTGTTTTCTTGCGCATGTGCAGTGCAATCGGCGCCATTCTGAAGTGAGTGGTTCTCGTGGAAAGGCGCATTAAAACGGAGCTCTTAAATTCCTGTTGTCGAAGTGAAATGGAGCAAAGAATTAACATTAAATTTTGCTTCAAATTGGGCAAGACAGCTGCAGAAACCTACAAATTGTTAAAACAAGTTTATGGCAAGGAAGCATTATCTCGCTCAAGAACTTTTGAATGGTTTAAACGCTTTTGAACGCGAAAGCGTGGAAGATGATCCGCACACAGTTCGGCCGCAGTTCGCACGCAAGCCGGAAGCAATTGAAAAAGTTCGCGTACACACATTGCGTTTGACTGTGAGGCGATTCTCAGCTCAGCATGGTGTCGTTGAGTCGCAGCATCCACCATACCCGCCAGACCTAGCACACACTTTTTCCTGTTTCTTAAGCAGAAAAATTCACTGAAGGGAACAAGATTTCAGGATGTCGAAGCCTTCACGAAAACTGTAACGTCACTAATAAAGAGCATTCCAAAAGAGGACTTTAAAACTTCTTTCCGAAATTTGTACAGCCGAGCACAGACGTGCATTACGGCTGATGGGGATTACTTCGAATAATATTAAATGGCTATGTGTTTAACTTTTTTTTCTTCTGAGTTATTCCATGAGTCCTGGAAATTAATAGCCAGACCTTGTATCTTGTCTCCAGAATTATTTTAACCATATTCGTAATGGCAAGGATGAAATCCCCTTGCTTTGTTATCCCCATTTTCTATCCTTGTCTTCTCCAAACTGAACTAGAAACCAGTTCTTTCTAGCTTAAAAAAAAAGTCAAATCTACTTCTGTGGGTGCTCCTCCCTTTTTGAATGATATCACCATTTTTATTAACCAATAAGAGGAACAGGACCGGCCTTAACGTCTTTCAATATTCTTCTATCCCCTCCCACCTTTTTTTCATTTCAGTGGCATCATCATAGTTGGCCAGACAGCCCATTGTGGTCCAAAGCCTTCCTCTGAAGATTTCTCCATAACAACTTTCGATTTATCTTTGATCTCCAATTCTTTTCATTAATTGCAAGAAAATCAGACTTCACGAAGTCAGCCTATCTCAACCATGGCCTTTCCGCTTTCTTATTCCAGTGGGTCTAAAAAGCAATATCTTTTTTATTGTCTTGTCATCACTTATGCCATACAATTCATTCTGTTTGTTTTTGTGTGTTTAATAATATCGGGTTGTTTATAAATCTTTTACAGTTCAAAGTTACCTTTCAGTGACAGCAACAAAAAAATAGGTCTAGGCATGTTAGAGTGACAATAGATAAAAAAAAAAGAACTGGTAATAAAATTGGAGACCCATTGATTATTTTTGATTCATTGATTATTTTGCATTCAATTAAAAGATAATCAGGATCTTCCCTGATTTAACCATCTATCTGTTTTTGTCAAAGCTTGTCTTATATTTCCCCATGGAAAACATCAGTTTAGAAAGTTTCCTTTGTTAATAACAAAATTTTCATATCTGAAAGATCAAAAATGTGACTGGGGATCGTTAAAGACTAGAGAATTATAAAAATACTGTAAAGAGAAAGGTTAATAATGTTTGCATCATTCAGGAATTGAATAATTTTATAAGGATGTGTATACTAAATGCAAAGTCCAACTTCTGAACATAAATAAAAAAAAATAGGCACTACAAGTAAAAGAAAATGTACCATGAGAAAAACCTGATAAACTTTCTGACCAGAAAGAGAGAATATCAAGCAATCAATCAATGATTGATGAAGGCAACTAACATCTCATTACTGGAATGAAGCGAAAATAGAAACTGATAGATCCTAGTCAGAAAAAGTTCAAATTACCAACGAAAATGTTTCTTAAAAAGTATAACTTTAACCAGGGATTTCATTGTATTATTTTAAAGAACTTAATCAGGGGTGATTGTGAGCCCAAGTCAAAAAATTCTGGAAAATTTCTAAAGTTTAAAAAAAAAAAAAAACAGTTTAAATTGAAAAATTAGAAAAAATTTAAACAAGTTTTTTTTCTTCCTTTTTCTCAATATTTCTTAGTTTACTTAAAATATATTTAAAATTTTACACATACCTATACCATTTACACATACCTATGATGCCCTGGAGAAGTAATTAAAATTTACAAACATGTCTTTTTTTTCTTGAGTTTATGATTACAACAACTATTTACTGATAAAAAAAATTAATATTAATCATGAATATGAATATAAACTTATAAAGTATCTCTCTGGCTCTCCCTTACAAACAAATAAAACAAACTGTGTTTTTAAATTCCACCTTTGAAAATTTGATTTCCAGAAACTTCTGTGATCAATGATTTTTTTAAACGTCTGGACCTTCGATCTCCGGAAACTTCCGGATCACTGTTAGCGAAAAATCCGGAGATCCGGATTTTTTCCGGCGCACAGTCAGCCCTGCTTAATTTAATTTTAATCCAGTTAATGAAAAAAATAAAATATGTTCGATTATGGTAATCTATTATTAGAATCTTTGCAATTTTGTAAAATTAATATTTAAAATAAGTAATTAAGGTATATTTTTTGTTAATAAATGATTATATTAAAAAATATGCATAAAGCACTATTTTTAGCTGTTCTATATTTTTATCATTATATCACAAGCACTATTAGTAAGAAGGTATAAAAAATGATGAATTATGTACATTTTTGATTTTCTAAGCATGAAGTGAAAATTGAATGATTTTATATGTTACATATTCCAATAGCTTCTATTTTTTCCTTTTGATTTAATAAATGAAAGACTAACAAAACCCTGTTTATTGCTAAACAAAAACATGTCCATATTGATTTAAAAAATGAAATTTTTAATTGAGTGCATGATTTAAAATCTGTACATAATAATGTTTAATACATTATTATGTACAGATTTTAAACTGTATTATGTATGTACAGATTACACTTATGTACAGATTTTCAACTGTAAGTTTAAAAACTATGTAGAAATCTGTAGCAATAAATTATTAAAATTAATCAAAAATTCGCTCATTATGGCCAGGGAAAACAAGGAATTTTATCAATCTGGAAATGTCAAGAAATTTAAGTATCTATAAGACCAGTATTTTTTTTTCTTTCAAAAAATTGGTTTTGTAATAATCTTTTTTTTAAAAAAAAGCATTGTCTATTTTAATCTTTAATAGCAAGCAAACGTGCTTTGTGAAATATTTGTTTAAAAATAAAGCATAACTGGAACTTTAATAATAAAATTTATGCCGCTAGTCAAAAATCAGAAAATTTTAAGAAAATCAGTCTGGAGACTTTTTTTTCTAAGTGTCTGTGGCCACCCTATTAATGAAATTTAGTTCATCTTATAGTGTACTATACAGCAAAATATTTCCTTTTCTTCATTCTCCTTTTGTATCACGTTTAAGTGCTGTGCTATGTTTTCCTTTTGTTTCATATAGCAGCCATACATTATGTTTTAAGCATTCTGCCATGTGATTGAAAAAACAGCTTAAGTACATCACAAACAATTTTGAGAAAAAATCTGAAAAGCAGTTTGATAATTATTTCCTTTCTATTCTTAAACTATAACACTAAAATTGAATTTTTTAAAGCTAGTAAAAAAAAATATTTTTATAATTTTATTTGTTTTAATTTATAGCTTATACAAAAATACCAAGTTTTGTAGCTCACACTGACTTTTCTATTGCAAGGCAATATTATGTACTAGTTCATTTAAGTAAAATGTTTTTCAAAACAGACAAAAAGTAATCTTTTCAGTAATGCATTTTTAAATGGGAAGTGACCTTAAATTTCCTCACTTTGAAACCTTTAAACCTTTTCCCGCATGCAACAAAAGAAATACTTTTTTTGTTTTGTTTTGTTTCACAATTCTCAACTAAGTGTAATGTATAAATCACAAACATCAGAATCTTTTGAACTTTTGCTATGTGTGTGCTCATGCCTGTTAATTTCAAATTTTATTTTACACTTTATCAGGCTTTTGGATCAAGTGCAGAACAAGTTGAGAGACTTTTAGCTCAAGGGATTATAAATTGGGGTGATCCTGTTGCTTCTGTCTTAGAAGATGGAGAGCTATTCATTCAACAAGCTGCTTCACCAGAGACAAGAGGAATGGTTAGCGTACTTTTGGAAGGTAAGTAAAAAATTTTGTTTTTCCCATTTTCTGTCAAAGCAGAAATCGAATAATTTATTGGAGGTAGGAATATTTACAAAGCAGAAATCCAAAATTTATTGTATTGTATGTTGAATCCAAAGGATTCCCAATTAACTGTTGATCATGAAATTTGCAGCATCTAAGTACTTTTTGTTTCCCTATAAATAGTCTTCGATAATTATTGTAGACAGAAATATATTTAATTATTTAAAAATATAAAGAGCAGTGTGATATTCCCTTAAATTTCTGTCAGAAATAGAACATGGCAAGCTGTTGAGAATCACTTTTATTTATATCATTATTTATGTGCATTCACTTATTATATTGATAATTAATATATTAACTACAAGGAATGAATTTTTTCTGTTTTTTTTTTTCATAATTTTTTTAAAAAGAAAAATGTGCATTTTTAAGTTAGAGATGATTTTTTTTCCCCTTTTTTATCTAAATTCCGCTTATTTATTTATTTATTTTTTGAAAAGTAAATCCCCCTAAAAACAGTACCTTTCTTTTTCTTTTCGATTTTCTGTCTTGCAAAAAGATTTCTCAATTTCTGAAGCTAAATTGAACATCATCTTCACTCTTGCTTCAAATGGAGAGCCAAGATCATCCAGCTGATTTTTCAGAGAAACTGATATTTTTAATGGTGGTGTGCTTACCACCTCCTATGTATTGTTTGAGGTATTTTTTTCCTCCCTGTAAACTTAAGATAAAATATTATTTTTTGAAAAGATATTTTATCAAGTAATTCTTTGATGTTCATTTCTAAACATAATTTTTCTCCTTTGGAATAAAAAAAGGCTGAGCCTAAAGCTCATTTGTGTTTTTAAGTATTCACATAACAATTCGTTGTGCAAAATCTTATAACGTTATTTAAATTAAGTTTCACTCATGAAATATTTGGTTTCTTCTTTTATTCAACTTTTTTATTTTAATTAAACTCATCCCTAATTAATATTTTGAAATAATTGAGGGATGGGGCAATTTTACTCCTATAATGTGCCATAATAAAGGTTCCTGTAAAAAAAAATATATGCAAATAAGAAAAACATTATTCAGTGAAGCTTTCTGGGAGTAGTTACTCTTCATAACCGAAAATGGTCACTCCTAGAATTGTTAACATTTATCCAAACAGTTAGCACAAGTATAAATACAAGCTAGCTGTTACATTTCGTATTAGTAGAAAAAGAAAAAAAATTACAAGCACTATTTTATCTAAAACGTTTTTTAAAAAATGAGGAAATTTGGTCTGGTTTCAGTTTTTTTCTCCTAATCTTACAGTATCTAACTCTATCTAGTTAATATTTCAAATCTGATTGAAAGAGGATTTATCTTAAAATATAACATACTTTCTGAATTTTCTATGATCAAATCTCTTTGTTTTTTGGGCTATCATTATAGGTTTCTGTTGCTGAATGATTTCATCAGATACTCTAACTCTGGATTAGTACCAGAAAGGCATTAAATTTCTTTTACGTTTTTCATTCTGAAATTTTCTTTTACTAAAACGAAAGGCAAGAAAATTATTGAGTTACGGGTTGATTATCTGTCTTAAAAGTTGTTATACTCTCAAAATCAATAAAAACTATATCACTGAAAAACTATACAATCTCTATACCTCTAAAAAAGTATTTAGTTGATTTAATTTAATCAGCTGGAAATATTATACATAATTTGGAAAAAACGAAAGCAAAAAACCCAAATCAAAAGGAAGAAATCTGTTTCTTCTTGCATAAAGTGACAATGAATGGTTTGTTACAAAATATTTCTATTTTTTTAGGTCCACCAAATAGTGGTAAATCAGCTTTAGCTGCTAAACTGGCTTTAAAATCAGATTTTCCTTTTGTGAAATTGTGTACTCCTGAGGATATGGTGGGTTATACTGAAACTGCCAAATGCCAAATGATTAAAAAGGTAAGATTCCATGTATATGTATTATTTATATTTTATGTAGGAAAATTTTTATATAATAATTATTACATTTGAATCCTTTAGGTGTTTGACGATGCTTACAAATCTCAATTCAGCTGTATAATTGTGGACAGCATCGAAAGATTATTAGGTAAAAAAAATTTAAAAAATGTTAAAAGTTGTGTCTAAAATGCATAAATTTTAGAAGTTTTGACTTTATTTAAGAAGATCTATTCCTATCTTAATGCATTTTTTTACAATGATTATTTTCTAAAATAATGTAGTAATAATGTAAAGGCACAATTAGACAAGTTAAAAAGATGGGGTCATTTATCTCCAATAAGCAGGTATATATAATATCTGTACCAAGGCATATACAGTGTAATTTTGTGTATTAGCACTTATGCTGATTTTGAGCTTTAATTATTGTTTTATTGCATAATTTGTTTTAATTTCATACATAAAGCGCTAAATATAATTTAATCAAACACATAGTGTCCTATATTAATAATTTTAAAAAACTTTTTCATGAAATATATTAAAAAATATATGTTATTTAAAATCAGCCATTTTATAAAATCAAATGTTCTCAGAACAAACATGATTTTAGTAAGAGGTGGGCACTGTATAAATAATATTTGGAACAAAATTAATTATACATTCTTAAGGCTCACTACTTTTATATGGCTTGATTACTCTCATTTCATAGTGTTGAAATTTCAATAAGTTTGTATGTTCTATTTTAAGATTTGAAAATTTAAAGTACTAGATATGTATGTTTGTAAATTGTGAATTTATAATTGTAAAGCAAGATTACAATTTTGCCTTCAATGTTCTTTAAATACTGAATTTTGATCATTTAAAAAAAATGTTTTAGTTAATTAGTTGTTGTACAAATTTTAATTACATTGATATATTGTTATTTGTTCATTATTGTTATATTGTTGTTATTGATATATTGTTATTTATAATCTAAATTTGTTTAATATTAAAGTAATGAATAATGCAAATTCAGTATATTCTCAAAAATCCAGTCTTTTGGGGGATTTGGAAGGTTTGGAAAATTTCGGAATTTGGATGTTACTTTAGTCAAGATGATGTTACAGACCTAAATGCACTGATGCTATTGTGGACCCAATTGATGTTTCACTAGTTTTCTAAACAGTTACTTATCGGTTTTAAAGTCTAAATATCTTAATACGATAATACTAAGACTCATGAATTTAAAATAGTGTATTTGAGTAATTTAACATGTCACCATATTTGTCGACAGTTTTATCATAAATTCATGCGGTTTAACAATCTTTTTATTGATAGTAATCACTGCAGAACTCTTCTTTAAACTCCTGATGATTTAAATCAACAAACATATTTAAGTAGTCTTTTTTTAAGACTCTATTTGCAGCAATTTTCATCATAAATCCATGGGGTTTTGTCAATGACTTTCTTAGCAGTTATTGCTATGGATTGCCAAATGATCAAATTCTTTTTTAACATTTTATTATAATTTTTGCAACTTGCATCTTATTTATCTCATAATTTAATTACTTTTTTTAAGTAACGAGTGTAAAAAAAAAATTTCTATGAGTATATTGTACTAACTTATTATTAATACTAAAATTTAATTTTATAGATTATGGTGCAATTGGGCCTCGCTACTCTAATCTTGTACTACAAGCTCTATTAGTTTTATTGAAGAAAGAACCACCAAAAGTATATACTTTACATTTTAATAAATATTTTTTCATTGGTTATTCTGTGATTTTAAAAATATGTGATTGTAAGCTTTAGATTGTTTTGAGTTTCATATTTTTTTTTTTTAGGGTAAAAAATTGTTAGTCTTATGTACTAGCAGCAGACGCCAGGTATTAGAAGAAATGGAAATGATTTATGCTTTCACATCTGTACTGCGTGTGCCCAACCTTAGTACATCTGACCATTTAATGGCTGTCCTTGAAGAAACAGATTGCTTTAACAGGGAGGAGTTAGCTAAAATCAGACAAAAAACATATGGACGAAGGTTTGTAATTATTTTCATTAGTATTTAACATAAATTATATTTAACTGCTGAAAATTAAATGTGCTATTGTTAAAAATCCATCCATTTAAAAATATTTAATGATATCATTCTTATGCTGGGTTTGCTTTTTATTTTATTTTTGGATGAAATCTTTATTCTGCTACCTTCTGTGGTTTCACTCTTTAGAATGTATAGTCAGCGTAAGACATTGCTTTGACAATTGGAATTAAGAACTGGAATAACTGTTTAGATATGTGGATAACAAAATGAAATTTTTAAATTTATTATATTCTAAAACTAACATATTGATTGTCATGCTTACATGATTTTTTGTTTGTTGATTACATGCATTTATATCACATGTTTTACTCTTAAATAATTGTGCATTCTGCTGATATGTATTAGTGTAATGATACGATAACAAATATCTGTATTATTTTTCTAATAATAGATTTCTTGTCTCTTCTGTATGTTCAGTGCATTATGTTTAACTGACTCTATATTTAAAACACTATGAAACTAAATATCTCCTTGTGCAGAATACATTTTGTTGTGGGGTACTTTAAACAACCTAAATTTTCTTTTCTTAATTTTAGGTTACGTGTGGGAATCAAAAAGTTGTTGGCTTATATTGACTTATCCCGACAAGTAAGTAATATTTGCTTTTTATTATTAATATTGATATGAATTCAAAATCGTCACCCCCTACAGAACCACTGTAGTTTTTAAGGAATTCAGACACATTTTACTAAAATCTGGTAAGATTTAAAAAAAAAGGGTATTCTTCCCTTTTCATTTTAGGAAAGTTCAGCATATATCATACGCTAGCAAATTATTTTCCAGAATTCCCCAATTCAAGGACTGTCAAAAGCAATACAATATATAAGTATTCACTATTTTAAGTGATGCTTAATATATTATCTTGCAAGTGGGATTATGTGAATAGTTATCACTTGTCTATTTTTTGTGTGATTTATTAAAGTATCGTAGACTCGCATAACTATAGCATGTTCTACTGAAGACACTCATAATTTAAAATGTGTTGAGAGCTCTTGTCAAACGTTAGAAATTCTACATATAAATCAATTATCTGCATATCTGTAATCCTAAGTAATTTGCATGAAGCAATATTATCTCCAATTTACTTCAAAAGCTGTTTGAATGTTTAATAATTTAAAATGTATGTTAAAGTTGGCAAAAACTGCAACTTCATGGTGGAAAACGGCAGCAAATATATATATATATATATATATATATATATACACTCCTCAAAAGTGAAATTGCAACACCAAGANGGTTACCTCAGGCAACCATCAATGGAGTCATTGATAGCATGCCTCGCCGGATTGAGGCCTGTATAGCTGCCCGAGGTGGCCACATTAGATATTGAATAAATTGCTTTATAATGATTTTATTAGTCTGTTTTTTTAATCATTTGTATATCCATCTCACTACTATCGCTCCTGAAATTTGCATGACGCTACGTGCATTATTTCTTGGTGTTGCAATTTCACTTTTGAGGAGTGTATATCACTTAAGTTAAAATGTAAAAAAGATTCAAATCAACAAGCTATAATGCAAAAAAATTAGACTGAACCACCTTTTTATTTATTGAAATTTCTATTGATTATGCAGATAATAATCTATTAATTTGCATCTATGTATGTTCTTTAATCTGTCTTTGCATCTATTTTTATTTTTAGACCGATCATGAGCACAGAGTTATGAAATTCTTATCTAAACTTGAAGATGAAGGATGTTTGAATGAAGCACTGTAAAGTATAGTCATTATTGAATCGTGAACTTTTACTGAAGTTGGCAATTGTTTTCATTTGAAATAATATGCTGTTTTGAACATTCCTTAAATTTTTTTGTGTTCAGTTATGTTTTAATTTATTACTTCAAGTTTGTGGATGTAATAATTTATTTTGTTAATATGTATAATTTTTGTATTTTATCATTGAGATTTAGGAATTGTTGGAATTTGTGCTCTAAAGTTTAACAATTTTAGAAAATTTAATATCAATGTTATTAGTCAAATAACAATTGTGATTAGTTAAAATATATCTATGTTGACATTGTTAAAACATCTGGTTAAAAATGTTTACCAATTTATCTTGTCTTCTGCTATGCAAGCGCAATATGTGATTAGAAAATTAACTAGGATAGAGTTAAATTTGCATTGTAGTATATGTGCATGAAATAACAATAAACCATTGACATTATCCTATTTTTTTACATGTTATACTATAAACTTTTTATTTGTCAAGTGAGTACTTAAAGTATGAAAAATATTTCCAGACATTTTTACTTGCAAATAATTTATTATTTATTTTATTCTATTGCGCAAATCCATTTCAAAACATCTTGTTAATTGTTATATGCATTTTAGGATTATGCATGATAGGTTATATGCATGATAAATATTTTCCTCTTCGATTAGCATTTTCCGTATTTGATTAATATTTTTATACCTATTTCTGTTTCTTTAAAGAGTCTGTTTGAAATAATAAAGTGAGTTGAAATATCATTCTAAAGTATTAAAATTATTCGTGTTTATGCTGCATAAATATTTTTTATTAAAAAGTCATATCTGCCATTGATAGTAAAAGTCTAGTGGCTATTTAGTTAGAGGTGAAATAATATGCTATTGAATGTTCTTTGTGAGATATTAGATAATTGACATTAGATATGTTATTAATGGGTTAAAAATTCAATCGCATTATGGTTTTTTCATTATAACTAAGTATGGTAAAAAATATCTCTATCCTTAGATTTGTAAATGTGTTAATATCATTCAGTATGGTGAATGGTTTAAAAGTGTTTTGTCCATTTAACTAATCCCAATGGACTACACAGATTTTATACTACTCATGTTCGATGAAAGTTAACTGCAAGATTAACTGTAGAATACATAGTCTACTTATACCATTAGAGTCTGTTGGAAAATATCCCTTTGGTACAGTCAATGGCAAATAATTAAATTTAATTCATTATAATGCAACATTTTTGTAAATGTGGAAGATTATGAGTTAAATAATTTTTTTAACAAAGAAAATTGAAGATTTTTATCAGTATTGTTATAAAAGTATTATTTAACACACATGTTACTATCAATATATGAAATTCCAGCAATCTATAGAATGCTTAACAATCTTAAACAAAGCATGAAATATGAAATAATGTTTTACTTTGAATAGTCATTATGTAGAATGCATAGGCAATGTATGAAATATCAATAATTTTATACTGTGGCAGAATTTCAGGCATTCTACACATTCATTGACTAGGTAACTCTTACCAACTGACTAAGCCCGATTTCATGCACTGATTGTAACATACATACAATAGATTGAAACATACATAAAATAAAATTGCAACATATATTTTGATAGACATCTGTTTTGTATTAATTAAACTAAAACACACCGTCAGTGTCTCATGAGGTAAATATTGCTAAGCCACGCTCTATGTGTGCTGTCCATTTGCCAATACCTAGTAGTTTTTATTTCATACTTTTTTCCAACACCCAAATTAGAAAGTAAAAATAAGTCATCTTTTGCTAATTTTTACACCTGTGCTTGTTATGAGACATTAAATAAAAAAATCGCGTTATAATATTGAATAATAGTTATACACTGTTTTCATACTATATTTGTGCATTAAAGGTACCAATTTAATTTACAGTTTACATTTGTTACAGAATGAAACTGCCAATTCTGTTGTGAAAAATACATTTTCAGCAACAAATTTAATAGCTAGTATGTATGTTTCTCTTTTGTTTAGAATGTAAAGTCATTTTAAAAAACAAATTTGATATTTTTGTATAAAACACATACCTTCATTTCGCCAAAAGTTGTAATTGAAACAATGTTTTAGTTATCTAATAATTAGTATTTAATTAACTTACTTGGTTAAAAGTGTTTTATTAGTATAGTCAAAGTACAACGAATATCATAGAATATATTTAAAGTATATCTTCTATGTTACCACTGTCTGACAAATTAAATGTATAGCATGACATTTTTCAGTGTATAGATTTTTAGTTTTGATATATTGCTTGAATATGAAATACACTTCTTTAAATTGAATCTTTTGTATATTAGGTGAATTTTGATGTAACTAAATGCACAGTCCACCCTTGTTGATAAAGGAGTTGTTATATTACTATATTCATTTGTAAATTTTTAGAACAAATAAAATGTTTCACAAATTTAATGTGTGACTTTTTATTCATACAAAAAATAGGATTTTTTTTTCATAATTGAATCAGACTTTCAGAATAACTTATCCACAATAGGTTAAGCGAAAAATAAATTTTAAATTAACAATAATATAATTGCTGTAAAAAGGACTTACAAGAAAAATTCTCTGCCCTGTACAAAAAAATTAAAATTCAGTTAAAATTTTTATTAGCATCAAAAAATTTTATTTTAAAAAACTAAATATTAATGGCATGCCTATTTCTGTGTGTAAACCTTAAACAAAGCAGTTTTGGACAAAAGAGTAAAACTCATACCTTTATTAGTTCCTGTCACAATCCTAGTAGTAGGTAATCAAATGAGATACCGTTGGGGGCATACTATAAATTATCTAAGTGGCACACCAATATTAAGCTTATATTTTTAAAAGGGTGCAAATTTCCATTTTAACGAATGAAATTCCTAATTTGTTGGAAATTAAAGCTTACAATTATTCTTACGTATTGTAGTAAAGGAACATCAAAAGCGAGTCTAAAAAAGTTTCTTGAGGATTATAAATAACATATAGTAGTCAACTTTTTCTATTTTATATGAAGATTTTACTTTCGTATTTTAAGTGTTAGCAAAATTTATATTTTGATATTTTAATTTGTGTTAAATAAATTTGATTTAAAATGTTTTCCCTCACCATTATATTGAATCAATTTCACCATTTATATAAATTTTCTAATAATCTTTGATATAGTGCTAACGAAATTTTATAGCGGCAACTTAGAAATTCAGTATGATTAGTGTGGTACACAACTGATAAGAATTTTTAAGTTTTATCTAGGGGTCATCAACCAGTGATGACATAACTTCAATAGGGCCCCGTGTATTAAAATAAAAATTGAGTATTAGATTTTAAGTTATTTAAAGCAATTATAAAACTATTAAAGCGTTTACATATATTTTTAAAAAAAAACTTTCCAAAAAAAAATATTGTTTTTCAAGGGAGAGTAAGCGAGCTGGAGCCACTAATTCTGAGGGAGCACTATTTTAGACTGGTTTAAAGGATCTAGAGGAAATATGTCTAGGGAGCCAGTCCATCCCTGATCGGTACTTGAAATCACTCTCTTTTTATGGGTACTTGAACCACTATCATTTTAACAGTTTTCGAACCTGTTATTTTTTTATCAACACTCGAACACAGAATCATTTGATCATTACATGAAACCAATCTCAATTGTTTAGTTTCCGACTCAACTAAAAACTCGATCCCATCCCCGTTTTATCGATACTAGAAAACAACTATCATTTAATCAGTTCTCGGACCCGCTATCTTTTTATCGTCGCTCGATCAATTGATCAGTACTCGAACCTGCCATCGTTTGATCATGCTCAAATCCATTGATAGCCATGTTAGAGAATACCTGGGTAGAAACATTGCTTAGCATAATCTATAATTTGCCTACCAACCCGGAAAATCTCCAGAAGTAGCCTTACATCTGCTTGTATCTAAGATTGAAGACACCCTGGACAGAAAGGAAATTGCTTTAGCCACTTTTCTTGATATACAGGTGCATTTGATAGTGCTCTTCACATATCCATTCTTAAGGGTCCCGCAGTGGACTGATCGTAAGGACACGGTTTCCAGTAGAACACCAAAGTCAAGTATCACTGACCGTGGACAGTAAGCGGGTGGAGACCGAGGGTGCGCGGTATCGGTCCTCGGCAAACTTTTCTACCGTAAAGTGATTGACTTCGCACGCAGGTCGTCAGGCTACCAAAACAGGGGAGAAATCCTCTCTGCAGGGGATCAAAATTGCGACGGCATGTCTTCTGATCATCCTCAGGGATGTCTCCCAGACCGTCTCCAATAGCCAGTTGTACGGCGTAAATAAAGTACCTACCTACCAACCTAATGCCTTAAGGGACGCAGGGATTAACCATACCTTGCTTGCATGAACTGAGACTTTGCTCTCGGATAGTGTTATTCAAATGAATATCTACAATGAGACATTAAAAAAAAAAAAGACTACTCGAGACTGTCCGCAAGGAGGTGTTTTATCACTATTACTTTGGAATCTGGTAGTAAATAGTTTAATAATTAAAACACCTAAAGGATTTAGGCTACTATACTCAAAGATATGCGGATGACATTGTCATATTCAGGCTCGGGAGAGTTTCACATAACTTGTCTGCTCGTGCAAAATGCTATGTCAGCAAATTGTGCATAGAAAGGAATCTGGATATAAATCCAATCTCGAACCATTCACTCGCAAAATTACCATAATGACTGCATACAGAATGAAGTTGCAAAATCAATGGTATGACAAGCCTACTGCTACAGGTCATGTGAGTACTACTAAGAAAATCCATCACAAACCCACCATCTTTGAGCTCATTATCATTTTGTAAATAATCGAACACAATATTTTATCGGTACTGGGTACTCGAACTGATGAACTTTGATCAGTTTCCAAACCCTCTATCTTTTATTAGGTTATCGAACTCAGCTTTTATCAATACACAAACTCACTATCTATTTATTGGTGCCCATAGTGATACTCATTTTTTCGGTACTCAAACACACTATCATTTAATCAGTACTTGAACTCCCCATCTATTTATCTCCACTTGGATCAGTCTGTGTAGGGACCGAGAGTGTGCGGTATTGGTCCTCGTTAAACTGTTCAACCGTAAAGTGCTCGACTTCGCGTGCAGGTAGTCGGATTATCGAAGCGGAGGTGCCATCCCCTCTGCAAAGGTTCGAAATTATGATGGTATGTCTTCGGATCATCCTCAGGGATGTTTAGATGTCCTTTAAAAAAAGTTTTCCTTCCTTTAACTGTTTTTATCAGTATAGTAACAAAATTATTATATGTCTGTTTGTGACAAGTTTGCTTTCTTTATTTTATTCTTAGCTTCATTCATTGACAGCACTACGTTAACTCTTTATTTACATTGATGAAAACAAATTTTCAAAATGATTTAATTCTACAAAAAATGGATATGAAATAATGCAAACAATTAAAAGAACATTTATTTTTTCTTCCATACAGTTAGTTGATAGAAACATAAATGTTTTTGTTACTGTAACAAGCTTTTTTATGCATTTTTATATCTTAAATTCTTAGATTTCTAAAACAATATAAATGNAAATAAAATTAAATGTTGCCCCCCCCCAAAAAAAAAAAAAAATTTTAGCTTATATTCGCCACTGGTTTGTGACAAGTTTGCTTTCTTTATTTTATTCTTAGCTTCATTCATTGACAGCACTACGTTAACTCTTTATTTACATTGATGAAAACAAATTTTCAAAATGATTTAATTCTACAAAAAATGGAAATGAAATAATGCAAACAATTAAAAGAACATTTATTTTTTCCTCCATACAGTTAATTGATAGAAACATAAATGTTTTTGTTACTGTAACAAGCTTTTTTATGCATTTTTATATCTTAAATTCTTAGATTTCTAAAACAATATAAATGTAAATATATTATTTAAAAAATATTTCGTTTTCAAATTTTTTTTCTTCATAAATTTGTAAAAAACTTTGAAATGTCATCAATTAAAACACTGATATTATTTGATAAACCATCTGGTAATGAACAACTCAACATCTTTTCACAAACATTTTTTAATACTTGCATATCCTCTTGGTGTGTTGTTGTTTCTTTTTGACACTTAGCTAAAGCTACTCTTGACTCCAAAATGTCCAAAAATTTAAATAAGTTCATTCCATGATGTGCTTTTAATAAAATCTGTCATGAGAAGAATAAAATTCAAATAAATTGCAATTAAAGTACAATAGACCTTTTTTTTAAACTTGAGCATGGGTAATCTAAATTATTGGGTGATTTGAAGTAACAATGTTTCTCTATAATTATCAATAAATCATAATGTTAAAATTTGTTTATTAATGTGAATATCTCTTATTTTCTTGGTTGATTTGAAGCGTGGCGCAGGGAATTTTTTTTTTTAAACGAAACATACAGTATAAACAAGTTAGAGGAGAAGATAACAATAGAAATGAAGGAAATAAAGGAGCATAAATGGCAAGTTAATTAATCTATTACACAGCTTTCTTGCCATTCCCCACAATTTTAAATTAATTTCTTTTTGTTCATTCACTTTAACAAGTTTCAATTTTAATGTATCGATAATATTCCTGTGTATTTAATTTCATTCCAGGTTTATTCAATCTGTGTTCTTAAAGCAAGTTCTATTCACAATCTCTCCAATGGTATAATCATCATCGGTTATAATTTGAGTTTCTCTATTTTGAGTAATTATTTGGCTTTAAAATATTGGGTTGGAAAGAAAATAATTTTTGTTTTTTACTGTTAAAATGAAACTCAATTTGTTTATCAATAAAAACTGAACAGTCAAATTTTTATTCATTCTGTTCAATGACGTTTTGCTATCTGTTTGGTAATTTCTTGATCTTTAACTCATAGAACTTAAGCAAAAAACTCAACCAAGAACGATTTGAAGTTATGCCGTTATTATTGAAATAACTATTTAAAAAGTTTTGTACACATTGAAAAAAAATGATAACCCAATGTTTGTTGCTGTGTATACATCATTTTCCATCCAAGCTCCAATAATTTCGATAATTCCTCTAAAGATATCAGCAGCTCCTTTGTGATATGCAATACCCCACATAGCCCTGACCTTGCTTCATTAAATTATAATTTATTTCGATGTTTAAAAACTTTTTAAATGCTAAATATTTGAGCAATAACGCTAACTTCAAATCATGCATGGTTGAATTTTTTACTGATAAGGACCACAAGATTTATGAGCATGAGCTGGTGAAATTACAAGAGAGACGGCAAAATGTCATCATATAGAATGGAAGATATTTGATTGATAAAATTTCCTTTTTAGTACAGAAAAAATTAAGTTTTATTTCATGCTAAAAAACCAAAATTACTTCTTCTCAACCCAATATAACCTTTATTAACATGACTTCTTTCCAAGTCACAGTCAGAAAGAGATATTGCCATTTGGCATTGTTTTATTTTGCAAATTTCAAAGGTGGATGGCAATCTTTCTAGAAACCGTTAAAGATGACTTATGAATATTTTTCAAACCAAAGACTTTTAATTTTCCTTGCTATTTCAGAATGATATTAATTAATGAAAAAAAGCAATTTTCTCTGTCAATCGTTTGCTATTTTTCGTTGCATTAAAATCACACTTTTTAACAATGTTTCATATTTTATCAACTGTATAGAAAATTCATGGCTATTTATGGAACTTACTGACAAAACTCATAGTTTCCTTTATCCTCATGACCATAGTTTTTTTTAAAAAACACATAGATTCAGTTGAAACGGCAGGTATTTGCAAACATCGGTTACAGAGCTGGGATTGCTCTGGGCACGAAGTGATCACGTCCCAATGAGGCAGACCACTTCAAATCTCAGGGATGGCTTCATATACTGCTCATGGGTCCTATTAATCGCTGTCCGAACAAAAAAATATCCCCAGTGACTGATGGATAATGGGTTACAGTCTCTTTGCATTCAACAATTTAGATGTGGGGGTGGAGTCAATGTTTCATCTCCATACAACACAAATACTGGTATCACTCAAAAAGGTTTTATTGGAGGCGAATTAGCATCATTGCTTAACTCAGGAGCTCTATTGTCAATTGCAGGGCTGGAAGTCAAAAATATAGAAGTTAAGGACTAAATTGCATTCAAATTTAAGGACTCTCATTCTCCAATGGGAGCAATTTGTATGATACAGACTTATTCACAGATACACATTGGTAATAGTTTTAGTAGCACCAGCACTTGAGCAAAACATTAACATGATATTCTTTTTAAAAAATGCTACACAAAAATTTCTTTTCCTTTAATATAAAGAAAAAGGAGAGAAAATAGTTTAGATACGGAAAATCTTCAGCTAGTAGTAGAATACAAGGATTTTCCTGCTGGAAGCAGTAGAATATGATACACTGACGATTAGCGGGAGAGAAATAGCAGATTTATGTAAATTTCTCTAACAGGGAATGTTTTCATGACATCAAAATAAGGGTTATTGTAATTTAAGTAAAAAACTACAGTACAGAGAATGTGTAATGTCACTATTATGATGAACAGGTAATAGAAAAAAAAGGCATTTATAACAAACCTGATGCTGATCTTGCCAATCATCAAATTGTTTAAGATCAGAGAGTTCTTGTTCAACATCTAAAGAAGCTTTATAGAGGCAATGCCAAATGTAAAGAATGTTATAACTATTAAACCAATTGTGATTAATTGAAATAGTATCTTCCTAAAAATGTAAAAACATGAGTAATTAGAATTGTAGAAAATAAAATTAAAGTGTTATTTTTCTGCTAAGTTTGTATTAATTCAAGAAAAAACTAGTTTCTTTTTTGTACACTGACTTTACACAAAATACAATATTCAGTTTAAATTATGTTTTAATTTATGCACTTTAATTATTAATCAAACCTACCAAATTCCATACTTGATGGTACCAGCCACTAGGAACAAAAATAACTTCACCCGGTTCTTGTATGACATCAAAAAATGATACATTTTTTAAATTCATTATATCCGTTTCCTTCAGCATAAAGGGTATCTTTGAATTTTTTTGTAAAGAATTTTCTTCTCCAGGAGGAAATAAAAGCCATCTTTTTCTACCACAAATATTTGCAGACCAGCTGTAAGACCCATAAACATCAGCATGTAGTGGGGTCCTAAGTAAATTTGGAAATATATATATAGCTCATTTGTAAATAACAGTAATTAAGACCAAGGCAGGTAAAAATCAGAATTTTCTTTAAAAAATAGTTTTTAGTGTTATTATTATTATTATTTAAACCAGATCTTGTTAATGAAACTCAATATTATTTAACAAGAATACTACAACTATAAAATGCTTAATCTCTTTAACTAAAATTTATATTAAATTGATTGTACTAAAAATTGTGTATAACAAACCAGTGTTCCCCATAAGCATTTTTTGAAGACCCACTCTGCTTGCCCTTTGACCCCAATAAATGCACCATCTTTGTCTTTTTTGTAAAAATAAGCACTATCCCTAGAAAACACTGCTTTTTTATTAATATTCCATTTTGAAACAATTAAATCACTGTTCAAATAATAATTACATGCTGATAAAATTATCTGTGATTGTAGGTTTCATTCTAATTACTATTACAGATATTCACTTTGTTTAGATTATTCTCAACTGGTTAAATTTTTATAAGTATTCAAGGGGGGAGGCATCATTAATAAATTTTTTAAGTAATTTTAAATTTTCAAACCATTTAAAAAAAAAACTTTTTTTTATTCACTTTTATCCTCTAAATGTTTAATGTTTTCTCATAATTTTCAGTTTAAATTATAGAAAAAAGCTTTCCAGTTGTTTATAAATTAATCCTTTTCTGTTAGTTAATTTTTTTGAAGAAAAAAAATATGCACAAAGATTGCCTTTTAGCATGCCTTAAATTATTTTTATAAACTACAAATTTTTCCCTTATTCTGATAATGAGTAGGGTTCACACCAGCAATGAAACTTTAGTGGTCCAAAAAATTAATACGTTCAACAAACTTGAGAAAAAACAAACTTTACTATTAGATAACTCATGTTATCAGATCATGTGTGTCATCATGTTAACACACATCAAAATTTAAAAATTGTCATCTATAACACCCTCAAACTAATAAGGTTCATTAGCCTAAAATGATTAAAGATTATAGTACCTAGTTATTAAAAAAATTAGGTGTAAAAAAGCTAAAATAATATTAGTAAATAGATTCAATATAGAGATTAAAATTCTGAGAGAAAATAAATAAATTATGGAAATAGAGAAAGTAAGAACTAACAAAATATTTCATGAAAAATTAATTATCCAAAAAATTATAAAATTTCAAATTAAGTAAATTCTAAAAGAGAAAAAGATATTATTTAAATCAATGAACAATTTTACTGCCAATATATGAATGCAAAACACAGCACAACATGCAAATATTAAAATTTTTATAACTCTCTTTCTGTTGTTCCATTTGAATACCGTGCATTTGAATCCCATTTCACACATAGAACAATAAAAATTGGAACAGAATTTTTTTTTAAACATATGCAGTTTGATGCAAAAAACTATTTTTCATTACTATTTTGTAAATTCCAAACATATTTAAAGACGACAAATTGAGAGAGATAATTACTTTTTAAAAGATACACATAAAATAGTAAAAGAGGGTAATTTTAAAATTGTTGAGGATAAAATTCAGCTATTACAGAATATTACACATTTTGATAAATTATTAGTTTTAAGGGAGTGCCCTTTTAAAACTCTAAGTGCCATTTTCAGAGAGGAAGCGCCACACACTTTTTTTATTAATAGGGAGAACTCTGACAAACTATTTACTGAACAAATGAAATCAAAGTTACTTTTATTCAAACTTAATACTCTCATTAATTCTACACTCAGAAAGCCAATTTGTCAGTTAGAAATCAAACAGCAGGTCAGAAAACTCATCTCAATTACTTTTGGCAGAGCAATTATAATTAAAAGTAGACTTACTTTTAATATTTAGGTACTCCCACTACGTATTTAATAAGTTTGATTTTTTTAAAATTTAATTAAATATTAATCTAATTGGATACATTTATTTTCTTATGGAACAAAAACAATTTTGCATCAAAACTACAATTTAAAATTTTTACTTCATTCTGATCAACCGTTAGTCTTTGGTTTATTCTTTTTATTTTGAGTATCATCAAGACATTTTCTATTTTACAAGATATAGCTCGAAGTGAAATTATTACACATGTATATAAATGCAAAGAACATATTAATTGCAATATATTAAAGGGGGGAAATAAATAACAGTATTATCTAGTTAAAAAAAAATTTAATAAAGTGAAGCCAACCATGAATAAGACGTGATCTTTTTGTAATTAATACAAATTTAAAAGTTATGATGAACAAATTATAAATTTGTTTCTTTTTGTTTTATAAGAAAGCAAAGGAACAGATTTCTTTATCATAAATTTTAAATAACTTGATTTTAATACAAACCATGTTCCTTTTGGTCCCATATACACAAATTTAAAGTCATCATCTTCATTTTCACAGAATTCATTTAACCAATCATCACAAAAGTAAAATGGTGTCACATAGGCTTTGTAGTTTGGATATGCTCTAAAATGAAAGTTATAATAATAATATAAGAATTCAGTATATATATATAAAATATAAATTTGTACTATAAAATAACATCTTGCAAAATTTTCATTATTACTAATATTGTGATCAATGTCCTCTGCAAATCCTTTATGTCGCAATAAAGTAGACATTTGACAAAACTTACAACCTAGCAAAAGCGAACTATACTTTTATAAAAGAATAAAGGATTCAAAAGATTAATAACAACAAGAGAGGATTTCTTTTTACACAGTGTGATACACAATTAAATTAAAACTGAGCCATTTATTAATTTTATTAACAAACAATAAATACTACAAAAATTCATTTTTATGAGCGATTACAATTACAGAAATATTTAAAAATATTTGTAATAGTTTGCGGGGTCTAAATAAAATATAAATACTACTCTGAAATGAGTTTTATCGATTTATATGTAATACATATATATTTATACTAATTGAATACCTGTTCTTTGTACACGAAAAAAAAGAAAATAATTAATAAATCAGTACTGAATGAAATCGCGCACTAAATTGATAGTCATATACCAACACAATTAATAAAATGAAAATAATCCTTTTTTTAGTTATTATTATTTGTTGCCCTTCGGGTGGCTTTGCATTATTAGAATAACCAAAAAAAGTTTTTAGAAGTTCATGCCATCAAAATAAAAGTTAAACATAAACAGTATCATTTGGCAAAATGCTGTTGTTTGAAGCCAACTAATGATAGCCAAAAATTTTCTTAATTAAGCAATTTTCTTCAGCACTTATCATTTCGAGGGGCTAAAACCTGTTTTCCTAGTATTTATAATTAAACTGCAAAGCATTGAAGCAGTTTTAATAAGTACCAATTTTCAATTACACTTTTACTTTTTACTGGTGTATTTGGTACTATAAAATACTGTGCGAATTACCATATTACCAGCAGTGCCTCTTATCAAAATTAATTAAGCATCATTAATGGCAATAATAGCACGATGACTAGTTACATTTCTCCTAAATGAATTTGTGCCATTTGTCCATTAATTTTGCTTTATTGTAAAATGGTTATTTTCAATTTCAATTAGTACTTATTACCATAATTAACTAAGCACTGTATTAAAAAATAGTATGCATATGTCCCACTTTATAAAAATTTTAAGACTGAACTTATTTTTTGACGAATCAACACGGTCTAGCATTATTTAGCAGAATTTTTCAGAAATTTATATCTCACTCTGGATGAAAATGTCCTACATATTATATCAATGAATTGATTACTATTTCTAAAACGATACATTTATTTTCGTTATTTAACCGTTTTTATAGCAAACAAAACAAAAACAATAGCTATGCTAACCTATCTTTTTACACTAATCTCTGAATTAAACCAAATTTTTTTTCTTGGAGCTATTCATATCACAACTTGTTTTTTGCTTCAGCATTATTAACTTATATCCTATTTTAATAAATTTTATTTTTTAAAAAATGATCTTATACTTTTTTATTAATCTGGCAGAAAAAAATAGTTAATTTTTTTAAAGGAAAAAAGAAAAATTACTTCTTTTTTAAAAAACTTAATTTCCAAAACAAATAAATATCAATTGGGGGATGGTTTTCAGCTCACTGATCTTTTCTCAAGACTGATTTCAGCCCTCAGGACTGAAAAGTAGCACCCCTGAGCATCGCAATTTTTCACTTTTTTCTCAAATGTACAATTTTTTTCATAATATTTTTTTAGTACATAGCTTAGTTTTTTTGGTTTCGATTAGTACCCAATAAAAAATCAATCTATCATTATTTGCGTCAATAATAGTATGAAAATTTTTTACGGCTCACCTAAGTTAATAAATACCATTTTTCTGTTTAGTAAATTTTTTTTATTTCAATTATTACCTAATACTAAAATTAATTGAGCATTATAGGTGTCCATAGTAGATTGGAAATTTTTATGTTTCTTCTGAATGAATTAATACCATTTCTCCAATATTTTTGTTTTTCCATACAAACTTGTTTTCAATTAATTTTCGGTTATTTAGTTTTATTGAAACATGCTATAAAGGCATAACTATAGACAGTGTTCTCCCTAAGCATCTTTTGAAGTGCAGAGACTGCCTTGCTTGCTCTCTGCCCCCCCCCCTTTTTTTTTTAAATAAGCCACCAACCCTTAAAAACACTGCCTTTTTATGTAGATTCCATTTTGAAAAAAAATTAATTCACTGTTTAAATAATAACTACACATTGGGAAAATTACCTGCGTTTATAAGTTTAATTCTGATTACTATTATAAATATTTACTTAGTTAATTCTTTATTGTTTAAACTTTCATAAGTATCTTTTTTTGGGTGAGTAAGGGGTTATTAATAAATATTTTAAATTATTTTGAAACTATTTTTTAAATAAATACCTTTTTAAAAATAAAAAAAATTTGCCTTTAAATGTTAATTTTCTCATAACTTTCAGTTCAAATTATAGAAAAAGAGCTTTCAAGCTGTTTATCAACTAATAATTTTTTGTGGGTTTACTTTTTTTGAAGAAAAAAAAAACATGCACAGAGATTGCCTTATAGCATGCCCAATATTTTTATAAACTATAAATTTTTCTCATATTTTGATAATGAGAGAGAATTACTTTTTCAAATATACTCTCATAAAATAGTATGAGAGGGTAATTAAAAAATTGGTGTGGATAAAATTCAGTTATTAGAAATTTTGATCTGTTCCAGGGAGATACCCTGGAACAGATCTATAGCCTGGAACATGTCTATAGCAGATCTATAACCTGGAACATGTCTATAGCAGAGTCAGTGTTTTCACTACAGCGCGAGAACGCGAGAATCTCGCATATTTTTTTCTTTTCTCGCATTAAAAAATGATTACCGCGAGAAATTCGCGCATTCTATAAATCAATTTCAAAATTCGCGAATATCTCGCATTTTGGAAAAAGCTTCAATTTACGCCATTTAAAATAAAACCCGCTTCACTTTTCTTCCTGGATCTTTCATTATTTTCAAGTCCCGCAGTGGACTGATCGTTAAGACACGGTTCCCAGCAGATCACCGAAGTCAAGCATCACTGGCTGCGGTCAGTGTGCGGGTGGGTGACCACTTGGATCAGTCTGCGTAGGGACCGAGGATGTGCGGTATTGGTCCTCGTTAAACTGTTCTACCGTAAAGTGCTCGACTTCGCGTGCAGGTCGTTGGGCTACCGAAACAGGGGTGCCATCCCCACTGCAGAGGATCAAAATTGTGAGGGCATGTCTTCGGATCATCCTCAGGGATGTTTCCCAGACCGTCGCCAATAGCCCATTGTGCAGCTCTAGTGCGACGTAAATTAACAACAACAACATTATTTTCAACATTTGCCCTGTTATCTACCTTCCCTATTTATCAGTATTGTTCAGAACCTTTTCGAACAACAGAACACAACCCCTTTCGGAACACATTTCTCTGCAACCACGTGTTTACCGTAGGAAAGGTTTTTTCATGTAAGACGTTCAAATTTTTTATGCGCTAATGTAATATGGATAAATACCTAGTAAAGGCAAAATCATCTATGATGATACAGCAAAAATATTAAATGCTTTAAAAAATAGAAGACGTTAAAAATGTATTATAACAAAAAAAAAATTTTTTTTTTCAAGTCTATTTGTGTTTTTTTAGTTTTTAGAAATCTCACTTAACTTTCTGAAATCTCACCCTGTTTTTGAGAAAGGGTGAGAAATTCTCNCATGTCTATAGCAGATCTATAACCTGGAACATGTCTGTAGCAGAGTTCTCCCTGGAACAGGGAGAACTCTTCTATACACAGGTAGTTTCAGTTAACTAACAAAATGCTATTATGGTTACTTAGTTTGCCTATACTACCTCAATCAAATTAATTAATTAGTTTATCTGACTTAATGAAAAAAAATTGTATATTAAAGAACATGCTTTTTTTTATAAAATAGAGCTATAAGGTGGGAAACATTACTAACGTTATCTTTAAAATACCTGAAAAAACATAATTGTCCATAATTTAATTTAAAACAATGGCTAACGCTTAACCAATGAAAAAACTCCATTTTCATATGTGCAAACACATGAGCTAACTGAAAATTTAACACAAATTTTAGGATCAGAAGCTAAATTTGCCCTTTGCAATCAAGTTTCAGACCAAGTGGTCCTGAAGTTATAAGAGGGACATATTCACACACAAAATATTCATTTTACTATTATAGATGTATGTGTAATAAAAATCAAAATACAAAGCTTTTATGAAATTCTGATCCAAGACAAAATGCTGAAAAAGTATCTAAAAATGTTACAATGAAAAAAGGCTGTTTTTCTAAAGCTTTTTATCAGATTTTATTGGGGTAAAAAAACACCAAAAATTGCAACATTAATTCTTCTGAAACATTTATTACATGCATATTTATTACATTTGTTTCCATCAATGCAGGCAGGCATCGTGAAATTCTTATTCAATAAAAAAATCTGTAATGACAATTCTGTATCACCCAAAACTGATAAAACTAGCTATATAAAATACAACAAATTGACAAAAAGTAGGATAACTGATTCGACGATTTGGGTTTTCACTTGAATATTTTTTATGTAGATTTCTTAGTGTATCAAGAAATCTCTTTTGCTTCTTTATCTTTTTTTTTTGTGACGCATTCCTTTCTACCTGAGCACAATCTGGATACATCATCAGATTCAAAAAAAGCAACAAAGCTTTCTGAAGTTTCATAAGTTATGTAATTTTCATTAAATTTTGATTTTACTGATTCTTTATGTTTTCTATATTTCAGAAATTGCTTTGAAAAGCACAATGCTCTGTACTTTTTCAGAATTTTTCCACTCAAAAGTCTATGAAATAACTTTTTTTCTCTGTGAGTCTTTGCTAAAGTTTTAAAATTAATTCCTACTTGCAAACATAGAGCTTCACTAAACACCAACTGCTAGCGAACTGATAGTGATACTCTTTCCTTGCCCAGAAATTTATTTACACGACCTCTTGGTGTCATTCTGTTTTGGTCTTGATTCTTAATTCTATATAATTGCTTTTTGTAACGATCAGCTCGAGTTTTTTGAACAAATACCTACTTCATGTTCAAGTTCATTTATCAGTTTTTTCAAATTTGCTCTATTTCTTGCACGTAACTTTATAAATCTAATTTTTCTTGAACTTAGATTATTATGCTCAGAAATTCTTAATGTGTTTTGTTCACTGGAAGGTCCTGGAACATTATTATTCAATGATGGCACTTTTACATTTTTACTGGATTCTGTAAGAGCTTGTTTTCTCAATCTGTAGTTCCAGGAGTTTTTCTTCCATTGTTTCCTTTTTACCCTTAAATTACGACTAGTCATTTGGGAGGCAGATTTCACTTGTCCTTTTTCCTTTTTCTTCAGGTATTTAATTTGCTCTTTCTGTTTTAAAATTAAAGAGGAATCTGGATTTGACTTCATTTGTTCTCTTCTTTTTTGGTCGTATTCTTTTTTCTTCAAACGAGCTTCTTCTTTTGTCTTTCCCATAGTTAAGCTATCTGGAAAATAGATTCTAATATTTATTAGATTGTTCTTAAAACTGGCATTCTGTATTTATTAATATGCCTAAACTAATTAATTCAAGATCATAATTATATTAAAACTGCTGTTTATTTCATACTGAGTAGAACTCACGAATAAATTTAAATTTGACGTTTAAATAAAATTCATCAAATGATAAAATTAATATTGTAAGTTCTCCAACAAAAGCTAAAACATATGATTTTAATAGAAATTAATCAGGTTAGAAATTAATTATAGAATAGAAATTAATTTTTTCATTCAAAAATATTTTTAGGAACATGATAACTTCATCAGGTAATATTATATTTTAAATAAAGTTAAATTAAGAATGGGTTAGACTTAAGAATTAGACTTAATACAATGTATTCTGTAATTTTTTATTCTATTTTTACTAAAAAAAAGAAAAAACCAAGAACAAAAAAAAAATTTAATAATATACTCATCTTGAATCATTCCCTCACTTTAGCATCATTCCCTCATTTTATACATTAGTGAGGGAATGACAAGTGTAATAAAATTTAAAAATAACAGTTAGGCCTAATTGATTTCGCATACAATCACATTCATACAAGAAAGAAACATATAATTATCGACTTTCTCGATGAAGTTGTATTTTATTTTACTTTAAAAAACGACATTAGGAAATGACAAATATAAAAAATTTTACCTGGTTTGATTCATTTAAATTTATTCCACAGCAAAGCTTTTTTAAGTTGAAGATGGAAACATACTGCAATTTTGTTCTAGATGCCAGTTGTTAACTGCTAAAGTTTTTAGTAAGATATTTTTATTCTAAGAAGATTGCAGGGGATAAGAACATTGTTGTGAGGGAATGATGTGAAACACTAGGGACAAAGTTTAAAATAGTGCTGTGGTAATATTTTTATCAGAAATTAAATTTAAAATTGATTTTCTGAATTCTATATTTCAAAATTCTGAAATAAAAAACATGAATTTGTAAATTTTTTTATTTTATTTCAGAAACAATTTTTTCTTTTTTTAAATCAACAGTGGGGACATGTGAGGGAATGACATATTGGTTTATTTTAATTACCTAAAATAAATCAAAAATAAAAATTCATAATTTTATTTCTTTGTTAGCCTGTATTCTGAAGGACATTTCCCCAGAATTTTTTTTTCTTCATAAGTTGCAAAACAAACATAAAATATACTGGCGAGATGAAACTGACTATTTTTGTGAGAATGACCCATATAATTTATTTAAAACTTTAGAAAAAAATAAATAACTAGATAAACTTCAAGCCCTACACCTGAAAGAAATTTTGTTATTAAGTGTAATCAGTTTTGTGTCTTGTTATTAAGTGAGCCAGTGGCGTACACAGAACTTTTTTAAGGGGGGTGTTCATAATTTTCTGGAACTACTAAAACAAATTCGAGTATGTAATAAAGACAGCTTAAAGACAGCTAGACAATTTTGACTTTTTATTTAGACAACATGGTTTAGTTAAATTTTTGCGGTCAGTGTGCGGGTGGGTGACCACTTGGATCAGTCTGCGTAGGGACAGAGGGTGTGCGGTATTGGTCCTCATTAAACTGTGCTACCGTAAAGTGCTCGACTTCTCGCGCAGGTCGTCAGGCTACCGAAGAGGGGTGCCATCCCCTCCGCAGAGGATCAAAATTGTGATGGCATGTCTTCGGATCATCCTCCGGGATGTTTCCCAGACCGTCGCCAATAGCCCATTGCGCAGCTCTAGTGCGATATAAATTAACAACAACAATTAGTTACATTTTGATTTGATTTTTTAAATTTAAGAACATAATGTAATATCTTCTGAAAAAAGTCATATGGGTGGGAAGTAACACTTTGAGGGCCACTTTCACATTCATCAGATTTTGTTATTCTAGAAACGTTTTCTTCAACAGAAGTATCCCATTTCCTTACAACAGAAAAACTTACATTGGTACTAGATGCTGTCACCTCACTAATTTCAGGTCGTGATTTTTTCTCAAAGTAATTAAAAATTGTTAAATTCTTGCGTTTTGACATCCTAAAGATCCAAGAACAGCACATATATATATATATATATATATTGGCGCAGAAATATCCGCGATGTTACGATCTCAAAGTTTCGAGCTGGAATGAATAACTTCAACGAGCACAGTATCACCAATGGTATTGTTACTGATTTCTTCACTAGTCGAAATAGTGGCGACGACGGGTTCGACGATTGAATGAACTTTTTGTTAAGACAAAACAGATTTAGCGACAAGCTGCAGAGATAACTCTAAGTCCGACTAACTAACTCCACTAACTAACTATTCAAGTTTTATCAGAATACCTATCCAGCAGGGTTGGCAAGATTTTGCCGCAGGTGGAAAAAACCATGGTAAATACCGGTAAAAACCGTCCTGGCAAAAACAGGTTTTTGCCAAGCAAAGTGGCAAAAAGTGGCAAAAACCTATATTTTCCAAGATGAGAGGACAAAAACACATTTTTGATACAAAATTATTCCTAAAATTGAAATATATACTATGAATATAAATAATTACAAAAAAATTAACAAAATTATTATTCCATAATTAAATGATAATGTAATAATATATCATTTTAGTAGTTTAAAACATTATTGATTGGAAAATTTGTGATTATTNGAGAACAATTACCTCCTTATGATTGATTTAAATTTGTTTCAAGTATTTTGTAATAATATTTAATCAGCAATTTAGATAATTTGGTTTTTGCCGGTTTTTACCAGTTTTTGCCGGTTTTTACCAGGTTTTTGCCACTGTCCTGGCAAAAACCCCTTTTTGCCGGCAAAAACTCCAACCCTGCTATCCAGTGTTGGATATCTGCTCTTTCATCGCAATAGAAAAATAAATTGAAGGATGGGAAGGGGGTTGCTGCGTTAACAGTAAGTTAAATCTCAGAATGTACAATAGTTGAAAATCATAATTCTAGTCTGGGTTAAACATAACAATAAAATCGCAATTTGATACATAATAATAGAAACAATTGAAGATAAAAGAAAAGTAAATTATTTACACTATTCTAGGATTCCAGAATCATCGCGTAAAGAACTCGCGAATGCCAGCCAGTCTCGAAAACTATCAAGACTGGCAGGACAGAAAGGAACCAGTCCGTAACATTATCACGTGAATTTGGCTTCAAAAGTACAACCCTATTATAGTAAATGTGTTTTCAGTATTCTGAGAAATACCGTAAGAAAAAAAAGTAGGCATAAGGCAAATAAAAATATATAGTCTTAAAAAATAATAGCCCGCATAATTTCTATGAAAATTTTCATTTTTGCCATTTTGTCTGAGCTCAAGGGGGGTGCTTAAACCCCTAAACCCCTCCCTTGCGTACGCCACTGAAGTGAGCTATCAGCATTTTATAATTTTGCTAAAGCTTAGCTTCTTTGCTAAAGAGTCAATTCAAACCCCAAACCCATTCATACATAGAATTGATAAATAGACTTGAATCAACTTTTATTTTTCATGAAGAGAATTCATTCTTCATAAATCAACTAATTATCAGAAACACATGATCATAGATCGCAAAATTTAATCATTATTTTGTGTAGCAAAAAATCACATAGCTTAAAATATTTCTTTGAAAAATAATAAAATTTTTCACAACTAATAAACATAACATAGGAACACGTGAATTTAAAATTAAATTTTTATCTGATAAAAGTAGATTAAAGTAAAAGAAAAGTATACACACCTATTAAAATGCCAGTCTTTCAAATAATACATCTTATCACCCATTTTTACTTCAGTATTGAAGTATTCTTTAATGTATGCTTTAAACAACATCTCTTTTCTTTCACAGAAGTCTTCTCGATCATCACAAATTACCACTGGTACAACTGAAGAACCTTTAATTTAGTTTGATTAAAAACATTATGGAATTAGTAAACTTTTACTGTAATTAAAATATTAATTTATTACATTTATGTTTATAATTAACATGTTTAGTTAGATTAACATGCATAGATTAATGTGCCCCTTAAGTCTTTAAACTAATAGATTTTTTATAAAAATTTTAATGAATATAAAACTAATAAATAGGTCTTAATAGAAAATATGTTTCTTTAATAGCCCTCTGATGTGTTTATTAAAAATATCGGAACAAAATGAAATTAATTTTGCACCAAAGAATAGTTTTGGAACATAGTGAAACAAAGATTACATCACTAAAAATAATACTTTTTAATCATATTTTATTTATATTTACAAGTTTAACAAGATTTTTGATTCTAAAAAAATTAAATTTTACATTCTCATGTGGGAGAATATTTCATATATTTGGACTAATATTAAAAAGTATTCAAATCAAAAAACTATAAAAAAGACATGGAGACAGTACTAGCATATCAAGTACTTATTACCACTATGCCTATAACCAATAAACCTGAAACCACAATTAAGAATTAATCGCTTTGTTAATAAATTAGTAATTTTCGACACCCTAGGCACTTTCCTGAAATGGAGAAGTACTTCATTTTTCTTTTCAGACAAGCATTCAGTATGTCAGCAAAGAATAACTGTAAAAATTTACATATTTTCAAAGCTATTTATTTGAAATACTTATAAAAGTTAAATTAAATGGTAGAGGAAATTTTGTTACTGATACCTGTTTGAGTCAACTACAATCCCTAAATTAATCTTAAACTAGTGAAAAGTTAAATAAATACATAGGTGTTTGCCGAGGAGGGTATGAACTATACACTTCAAATTGTATCCCTTCTGTGATATTTTTTCCTTTTTGTTTTTCATTGCGAATATGGCTAAATTTTAGTGTCAATACCAACACACAACTCTTACCACGATATTTTTATTTCCTTTGTACAGATAGAATAATAACGATTAAAAGCTTGAGTAACATTTTTACATGAATGATGATATATTTAGAATCATAAATACAATTTTTGAATTTCATAAGCAGATTCTAAACTCAACCAATCATTCTCCTCTACATTATATTCATCCTTAGTTGCTTTACTATCTTAATACCATAATTGGTAATTTGGCAAAATGCATGCAAATATTAGAATCTTACCAAAACTTATTAATACAATTTTACAAATGTTTTTAGTGTTTTCAAATTTTTTTAAAGTTCTTTATTACTCATTAACATTATTTAATAATTAGTCAGGGGATATTTCTGTATCATGATCTGTTCTGCCAACTACAATCGCCAAGGTACCAAATAGATTTTAAACTTGCAAATTTAAAAAAAAAAACATGTAGATGCTTGCCCGGGGGTGGCTACGAGTTATACCTTTCGAATTGGTCCCTTTCTCTGATGTTTTTCTTAGTTTCCTGAGGGTCACTGCCCGGAAGTTTCCAAGATTTGGCGATTATTCTGCCACAGATCACGATACGGAAATCTACCCCAGACACGATTGATTACAATATGCTTGTAAATAACAGACAATGAAAAGCACACGAACCGAATTCTTGAATTAGAAAATCCAAATCTGGTTTTCCATCAGCTTTTAACCATTTATTCCGGCTGACCCAATTATCAGTCAAATCTGAAGTAAAAATACAAGGTTTGTTTGAAATCATATGATTTCTAAGGAAGTATTCATAGGTTTCCCCAGATAAGCGATCAATAGTTTTAATTTCATGACACCAATTCTTTCTAAATGATATATCCAAATCTATTCTCAATTCATCCCTTTTATCAAATAATGAAAACATTACATAAACAAGGCATTTTACAAATAATTAATAAAAATATTTTAATTAAGAAGCTCGAAACACAGATTAAAGACTGTAGAAAGGGGCTATTTTCAAATTTTCATTTCCGACAACTTATGAAAGGTTTTAGCTGTCTATTTCTGCTCATTTCAGGATTGGTTTGGATTAGTTAGTAGTAGTTATAGTTCTTTTTATTATGTAAGGGGTTATTCTAACTGTATACGGTTCACGCATGCAGTGAATTTTCCCGGGAAAAATCCCACCAATCAGGTTCACTTTTCTCTTGATGATGTTTGGAGGTGTGGTAACCACATGCAAGGAGAATGCTCCCTAAATCACGGTTCGCAGTAGATCACCAAAGTCAAACATCATTGTTCAGTGAGCGGGTTGGTTAACCACTTTGATCCAGGATGACATCGGGACGTCTAAACTGGCAGCCTTCGATTGCCATGACATGTTTGTCACAGTTCGCGGAGGGGTGCCTTGTTTCTGAAAGGGGATTGGGGAGAATTTTAATCTTTGATATTCTTGATTTATTTAATTCTTTGAGTTACTAATAGTTTGCGGGGGGGAAATGAAATATTCTTAAAATAAAAAATAACAACAGACTAAAAATCAAATGCATCTTTATTTCTAAAATTTTCTGAAAATCATACTTTAAATGTTTTTAAATATGAGCAATTGATTCATTCAGAAATTTCATCATTTTAGTTAGTAAGGGTCACTTAATTTGTCAGAATATTATAACTAATAATTTATAACTATTTTATTATAGATAAACATTTTATTATATTTATGGTTATTTAATTGGGTATAATATAGCCTACGTCACAGGTTGTGTTGTTCCTACTAAATTTAATCCATGAACGGCATTNTATTTATAATTATTGTATTTTATATTTGCAATTGATAAAATGAGTAACTTTATACCGCTAAAATCTTTTAATTTTAAAGGTACAATAGGTATCTAAATAATGTGTAATAAATCAGCTTTAATAAAACGGTAGAATGCATGAAATGAACTTTAAACAAGCTTTTGTTTTTTGCTTTGATTTGCTAAGTAGTTGTTAATTTATGCAGTAGCATTGTTTAATAATTGTTAGCTTAAATAATCTGAAAAAAATATATTGCATTAAAATTTTAAAAAAATCTGCGTTTTCAATTTTTCTCTTTCATGTTTGTTATGCCTTGCCTATTTTTTCCGCAATTGCAAACTTGCACATTTCACAAAGCAAACAAAATTGATCGTTAGTTCTTTTTTTTTAAAAAAAAAGCAATATTTTCTTCTTTTATATATTTTTCAATTATATTTTTTATAATAAATTACTATTTGCAAACTCAAACAATACAATATTTTTTTCTTCAAATATAATAATTTATCTCTTCATAGAAAATGATATGGAAATGGAAAATGATCTGCAACTATTGTTTTGTTTTTTATTACCCTTTTACATTGAAACCAACGCAGAAGACAAGGGTGCCAAGCAGTCGCAGTTTATTTGTCATTTAAGGATTTCATATTAAGAGTTTTTAGTTATACAATTTCAATCTTGTTGCTCTAGCCATAAGGGTCATTCGTAATTTTTTTTGTTATATTGCATATTCATGTTTGAAGTTTAACTCGATAGAAATTTTTTAAATACTTTTAATAAAATAAATTTTCAATTGCAAAATATTCTTTATTCCTTTCATATTTGACCGTGGATTATTTATTTGCTTATTATTTTTTTGTTATCTTTTTTACTATTTGGAATGTAAATAAATTCTAAAAATGTCATTCGTAAGATTTTTTTTTCATCGTATGACACATAAATTTGTAAAAGACTTTTTGAATTAGAATTAATTGCTCCAAGCAAGATAATCTAAAATATTACTTGAATAAAGACATTAATACTAGTATAATCATAACCAATGAATAAAACAGAATGTATTTAGAAAGACTTAGCTAATATTTAAAAAAATATATAAAAACTGAGAGTAAAAAAATATTTTTAAGTTTGTTTTTTTCTCTCTCTGAAATTTGTAATTTACCATTTTACTAACAATAAGTATTTTTAAAGTTCAAATGTCAAACAACATTTTCAGATATGACTAAAAAATTTTCTTTTGTCAAGCATTTTTTTTAAATACAATTTCTAAAAAAAAGTGTTTTAAAAAAATGTGATTTTAGAAATTTTTTAATGTTAATTTCAACGAATTTAATTCCTAAAATATTACATAATTTTTAAAAAAAGCTAACTTTCGAGTATATTTCGATATTATAGCTATAAAACTAAAAATATCTCTTTGCCTTGGAATATTTAGAACAGAAAAGTAAAGGGGGCGGAAAAATTAAGAAAATTAATAAAAAAGGTTTTTTAATTATGCATCTAAATTTATCCGCAGCTTTATAATAATTAAAACACGATTACATTGAAAACCTTTCCTTTCTTTTTATTACTCTTTTGTATTGAACCCAACTCAGAAGGCAAATGTGCCAGGTAGTCGCACTTTATTTTTTATTTAAATATTTCATGCTAAAATTGTTAGTTAAACAATTTCATTGCTTTCGATCTAGCCATAATTGTTATTTTTATACTACAAATTCATGCTAGTAGTTAAATATTATGGAAATATTTTTAATAATTTTAATAAAAGAATTTTTCAGTTACAAAATACTCTTAATTGTTTTTATTTATTTATTTTATTATATTATATTTTTTTTTTGTTTTACAATCTACCATTGTGTATGCGAATTAATTATGCAAGGATCATTCGAAAGAATCTCTTTTTTTTTTACATGTCGCATAAATTCTTTAAAAACTTTTTGAGGTAGAATTAATCGCATTCATTTGGATGACATGAAATATTATTTGTATAAATCCAAAAAACATCAATTTAGTCATAATAAATTAACATACCCGAATATCTTTAGAACAATTTAGCCTATATTTAATAAAGAATGTCAAAACAGAGAAAAAACTACGCGTAAGTTTTTGTTTCTTCCTAAAATTTGTAATATACCAATTTATTAAAAATAAATATTTTTAAAAGGTTCAACGTCAAACAACAGATTAATAAGTAACTAATAGGTTTTTCTCTATCAAGCATTTTTTATTAATACGATTTTTAGCAGAAAATTTTGATTCGTGATTTTGGAAATTTTTAAATCAAGAAATTTCGTTTCTAAGATATCAGATAATTTTCTTTTTTAAAAAAAAACAAGTTATACAGTTTATTTCGGTTATATATATAACAGTAAAAATATATTTTTGTCTTATTTCACGTTTGTAATTTTCGCATATGCAAGATTCACATGGTTAACAGAAAAATATAGAAAATAAATGAAAACATGCTTCTTGATTATGCATCTAAAATTGTTAATGACTTCATAGCAATTTTGAAAACTATTACATTGTAAAAGTTCCCGTTCTTTTAAATCTCTTATAGGAAATTGTGCAGCGGATGAAAAATACGTATACAAATTATAGTAATTCTTATTTACGTTATATACGATATAGTTATTATAGTAATCTTATTTATTTATTATGTACCATTCTCAATAATAACTCACAATTTTTTGAAATTTTTTTAAGAAAAAATCAAACAAATCTACTGAGAAACAGTTTTTTATTTTTTAAAAAGCATTTTTTATCTCTGAATATTTTGAAAATAATACAAGGTAGGTAAAATAAAATTTAATAAAAATAAGGGAATAATTATACTTAACATACATGACCAAAAATTCACAAAAATTTGGAACGAAAAAAATGTTCATATGTTAAATAAGTTGTGCAAGTAACCAATTTACTTAATCGAAAAATGTTTATAAAAAATCATAAAATATCTGGGTAAGCATTATCTTTGAAATCAGAGATCAAATTTAATCCCAACATTAATCACACACTATTCAAACGTTCGAATCGTTTTCACTAGCAAATTGTTAGGTGAAAGACATCCGATAGTTGGGAGGGAAAATGAAGATCGCAGTCCATTCACGTAAGCTACAGAGGTGGTGGAGCTATTCCCTCAGCAGAGAATCAAAATTTTGATTTCATGTCTCCTCAGGAATTATTTCCCAGATTGCCCCTCATTAATGCCCATTGTGCAGCTCCAGTACCACGTAATTAAAGTAGTACTACTATTTTCCCAACTGCACGAGTTTTCACTGGCCACTTTCACTATATGCGAGAAATTCGTGATTACAAATGAGGACCTGATTGAGGAATTTTCATTGGTTATTTATATTTTGCCAATCAGGTTCTAATTTTGTTGTTGTTGTAATTAATTTACTTCACACAAAAGCAGCACAATTTACTATTGGTGACGGTTTGGGGAGCATCTCTGCAGAGGATGATCCGAAGACGTGCCATAACCATTGATCCTCTGCAGATGAGTTAACATCCCCCCTTCTGTGGTTTGACGACCTGCATACGAAGTCGAGAATTTTACGGACGAGCAGTTTAACGAGAACCCAAACCGTACACCCTCGGTCCCATTGTAGGCTGATTAAAGTGGCCACCCTTTTGCAAACTGCGGTGATTGTGAGACTCTCATTTTCTAGTATCAGTGTGGTGTAAATCGAAAGAATATGGCAATGCACCAAAATTGAAACAGTTTGAGACAGATAATTTTGCCAATTACGCCCCTCAGATCACAGTTGATAGAAAAGGGGAGTTTTGCAGACAGCGAACTGCGTTGCGTGAATAGTGTACAAAGAGAAAAGCTCTTAAGCTCCCCATCGTTACAGAGTAGTCTTGCATGCAAAAGCAAACGCGTCCAGAGTGCAGTGTGAATGGCACTGTAGCTTATTCAGCCCATTCGTCGTGTTGGTCTTTATTAAAGTTATCTTTGACATCTGGCAGTGATTTTGAAGTTGTTAGTGTTTTGTTTAGTTTTTGTGTTTTCATTTTTACCTGTAGTGATAATGACTTAATATTTATAATTAAGATGTGATAAATTTCATAAATCGAATAAGGATAGCATTCAATTGAGGTAATTTTTTTGTTATTTAACATTCATATTGAATGTCTGAATTTTAAGTCTAGAGTAGCGCATACCGTGGCATCTTTGTTGTTAAACGGTGTCATCTAAAACAATAAACATTATCTGGAAAATTATTTATAATTGCAGGTATTACATATTTTAAAATATTTCTGCACTCACGTGGTACAGTTGCTTGTATTGAAATGCAAGAAAAATGTAAGTAAAAACTTGTCAGTTTCAATGATTCGTCCATTACTTGTGATTAAACTTCATATCTTTTATTTTTATTTGACTGTTTATTATGCATATTGAACTGTGGTTTGATTTCTATTACACGTCTCGTGACTATGATTCGTGTAGTTTTTTACATTTCAATATTAATCTTTGAAAAAATTGAAGATAAAATATTCAAATTAATTTCTTATTTAAGTTTAATTATTTTTTTTATTTCAATTATTGATATAATTAGTGTGTTATATAAAGCTGAAATAAACATGCATGATATAACTGAATTATTGTAGCAAAATGAAAAAATAATTTATTAATTATTCATTTATTCAAAGAACTGTGTATAATGTTTGTATGGCTGGAAGAAAAAAAATGACGTGCCCGCAGATTTTCTAAGATATTGAAAAAGAAACATTGTATAATTGCTTGTCAAAATACATTTGTATGATAATACATCACTGATTAATCTTAAAATTGGGCTCAGGATTTGAAATTATCAACTGTCTTTTGGTCCAAGACTAAAATTTTCCTCAAACCATAATAAATTTTTTTCTGTGGTCTCCCCTGAATCAGCAATCAAAGTGAAGGAATGGTATGCTGTTATGGTTTTTTGATATTCAGTTTCATGTTTTTGATTTATGCTTGATTTTGTCTTTAAATAGCATATTTCATCATAATTGTGACAATACCCATGATCTGTATAGTACTTTTTCATTTAAATTCACTTTATTAACTTTTAAAAAAAAAACTAATAGGGTAGACAAACTCTTGAAAAAGTGTATAGATTGGAACTATTTCATAAGGACTACTAATTACATTCTCTTAATTTATATTCCTGTTATACACATTCATTAAAAGGAATATTTTGAGCTAAAGTCATCTTTAATGTGGATTATATTTTATTTCTTTTTTATATATTTTTTTAGTTAATAAGTAAGTGTCATATTCAAGTTCCAAGTTTTCCTTTAATAACTTTTTCTTAAATAAATAATCAATTCTTTGGTAGTGCTATATCTGACAAGTATTTTTGCATTTATTGACTTAATACCTATTGGATGTGATTTTATACTTTTTCTTGTGTGTTCCTTACATACCAATTGAAAGATTTTATAACTTACCTTACCTTCTTACTTATTAATTTAATATTATTCACAACTAAAATGAAGCAGGGCTTCTGAATTGTTTAGTTTTTGTTGTAAATATTTGATCACATTGAGCTAGTTCTATTATGTAACTGCTTTGTGGATGTTATAGGAAGGGAGAAGTCTATTTACAGTACTGAAACTGGTTTTCATTAATATAATTTTTTTTACACTGTAAACCAAAATCTCAGCTTAAGACCTAAATGCAAATATTTACACTTTGGTTTTAGATTTGTTTTACATGTTGACAGTTAACTTAGCTACAAAGTAGGAAAATTTAACCAGTTGTTTCATTGAAGCTTTAAGACTTATAAAATATAATTTTTTTATGATAATAGATACTAATTCAACAAGTACTAAAATAAATATCGAAAATTAGGCTGTCACAATCTATTTAGCAAGTTGCATTATTATTAAAATTGCATTATTGAAAAACAACAACATCTGTATATTTTGTAGTTGATTCTTTTAATCAGAATAACTTGTTTTTGCATCATGATATATGTATAATAAATGTTTATGAACTGCCTTATGTATATTAAAAATGTATAATGTATATTGAAAGTGTATAATGTATATTTAAAGTGTACTTCATTAAAACCTAATTTCTTGAAGAAAATTCAAATAGATGTTCCTTTGATATGAAATCTGGCATATCTATATTTAAAAAAAAATCTATTAGATAAAGTTTTTTAATGATAATTTAAAAGAACTTCATTTACACTCAAAGTATCATATTTACTCCATTCTCAAGGGTTTTAGTTTTGATGTTCCTGATAAAATATTTTTTCTCGTTATTTGTCTTGATTTTTGGCTTTTTGCCTGTCTATTTTTGATTTTTGAAATATTCTGAACATCATATTTTCAATGAATACATAGGTTGATTTTGGAAATGATTTATTTGAAGAATAAGAAGATTATTTTGAAAGGCAGTCCGCCCTGATTGTAATAAATGAGCCCTCTTAGTAAAAGTAAGCCGCCATCCCTTGGACAGACTTCATTTTTATTTAGATCTATTTTGAAAAAAATTATTCAATGTTTTTAAATAATAATTGCACACTGGTAAAATTATCTGTGTTAATAGGTTTAGTTCTGATTACTGTTAGAAATATTTACTATGTTGGGACTACTTCCAAATTTTGTTTGCAAATATAATTATTTTATATACACTTTGTTTATCATAGTTTTTTGTTGTTTAATATAGTTTTTGTTTTGTTGTAAGCAAAATTATGGGTCCTTTCAACTGTTTTTTTTTTGTGTGTGTGTTAAAATCCTTTGGGTCTAATCTAGCCTACCATATATTAAATAGTTAGGAAATTAAAACTTTAAGTTAGATTCCAATTATAAACTATTTAAAAGAACAATTTTTTAGTATTTGTTTTCTGAGACAAATTTTGTTCGTTCTTCTTACTTGGGTTGGGAGAAATCACTTTTTCCATGCTTTTTTCCATTGTGAAAGAATCTTGTCTTCCCTGTCTTATGTAAGTGATGTATACAGATTCTTTTATTTATTATAATTATTTTTCTGTTGAGGTTATGTTTTCAACTGAACAACCACAATTGACTAGGTCTCTAGATATCATATAAAAGCAAAAATTTATAATTAAGTATGTGTAATGGATACCTATCTCTCTGCCATTTTTTTAATCTCTAGTCTATTATAAATGAAAGAAAAATATTTTTCTGAGGCTTTTTGTATTATCAACAAAATCATATTTTCAGAATGTAGCTATAAGAAAAAGCGAATTTGCTGTCCCTGCAAAAGTATGTAACACTGTGTTAAATGGGTAACAAATAATATATACTGCTAAATTGTTTTGAAAATATATAATAGTTAAAAAATATACAATAGTTACAAACATACAATGAAAATAGGCAATTGTTTTAAGTGCACTGTAACAACTCACTCTAAATACAATTTTATTAATGAAAAAATGCATGCTCATTTTATATATATCAACTGATTCTTTACTTTTTTATATTTTTAGAACACTTTAAACAGTGGAATTTTTGTCTTTCCAATTTCTACCATGGCTCATGTAGAAGCAGAGGTATATAATGCAACAAGACCACGACGAGCATGGGTAGATGGTAAAAGCTCACAAATGGAACAACCATTCTATAAAAGCTTGAAATCTAATTATGAGGAGCATGATAGAGAGTCTAAAGATTCAAATAAAAATAAAGGAGAAAGTTTTAGGCCTATGGGGTCAAAAGTAAGTACCATTGCTCACATGTTTCAAGCTCTATCACAGCAAAAGGTTGACAATGCTTCTCTAAGATCGCCTGTGAGTAAGGAAGCTCCAAATATAGAAAGAGTGCAGTCTCCTGATCTATATAAGCCAGAAAGATCATCTTCCCTGCCTGCATTTCCCAGCTCAAATTGCTCCCTGTCACGCCGTGGAAGCCACCTTACTAGATTCAACAATGCAAAAGCTATGTTTGAAAATTTAGAAAGAAAGAAATCAACTGAGGACAAAACTGTTTGTGATAAGCGTGTTCGAGCAAGCACGACCCCTAATACAGAAAGCTCTAAAGTGAATAACCACTCTCTTGTAAATTCCTCAAATCTGAGTAAAATATTGCAAACAAATAAATCTATGACTAATGACTTCGATTCATCAAATGTGAAAGATGTACCAATGAAAGAATCAAGTAATATCATTGATTTCAAAACTACTCAAATGTCAAAATCTGAAAGTAATAGATCCTCACAAGATTTAGTTTATGCTAAACCTGTATCTCCTAAAATAACTGAAAATCTGTATAATATAGATAATGATAAGAAGTCTGTGATAAAATCATCTGTTAACTGTGATTTCTCTAAAGATTCTGATAGCATCTCTGTTGAACCAAATTCCAACAGGATGACTCAACTTATGCACAATGTAAAAAATAAGAATAGTTTAGAGTCAGATCCGATAATAGTTAACACCAAACCTTGCAAGGTATTTTCTTCGGAGGGTGTTCACTCCAAAATAGTTCCACAAGAAAACAATGCGGAAGAAAAGTATGAGGATAAAGATAAGATTACCATTGATACTTTTAGCAAAATAACCACTGAGTCCCTAAGATCAGTTTCACAGAAGTCTCTCTATCGAAAACAAGAGTCTAACTCAATTGCAGAAACAAAAAGTTTTCACCAGAAAGAAAATTTATCACCCCAGCCTTACATTGAAAACAAATCCATTTTTTCGTCTGATGCAAGATTAAAAAGTGCTTTTGAATTTGAAAATAACCGCATGAAATCGAATCTTCAAAATAAAGTGTTTGATAGTTCAAGCTATGTTGTGCCTACAATTTATCGTAAGGAACCCATTGGAGAAGAAAGATTTAGTGCTTCTATGTCTTCTTCAGCTCAATTACCTAAAGAAAAAGATTCTAAAATACCACTAATAGACAATCAAGTATGTTCCAAAGAGTCTGGAAACAGTGATTTTATACAAACTGCTAAAGCTTCTGATATGTCAGCTGGTTCTAAAAAATTGCAGAAAGATATAGATGTAAGCGAAATTGCTGAGAAATCTTCATATATCCAAAGTACCACTGTAAAGACAACAAAAGCTCTACCATCACTAAGTTCAGATGTAGAATTAGTATATGATAGCTTTCAAAGTGCCTTAAAAAATTCAAAAGAATGTTATATATCATCTCCTTCTCAAAGTCCAGTGTCTAAGGAAGATATTTCTATTAAAGATGAAGCTGAACAGAGTGATAAGTTACAGTCTGATGTCCATGAAAGTCATGCAATAAATGAGCAAAGTGTCGTTTCAACTTATGAAGTATCTAAAAGGCAAACTGTTACTACTTTAAGAAGTAATTCTTTTCCACCAGGTAAATTTTTTTCTAATTTATCTATCATGTTAATATTTATTACTAGTTTTAGCCTTAATGGCATTTTGGTTATTAAGGCACTGAGCTGTCATTGTGTAAGATTGAGGGTCTAACCTTGGTAGTGGCTTGAAACCTGTCTGGTTTCAGATTGATGATGGGTACTAACTTAGTATAGGGGCCCAGAAATGCTAAGAATTCAGTAGAAATTCCTTACAAAAAGTGTAATAATTAATTATTTATTAATTATCAATTTTTTTAAAAATGAAATTTTAAACAATTATTTTCTTATTTTTTATAAGGCCATACTCAGCAGAAATGACATCAGAAAACATGGTGAATTTTATGGGGACCAAGATTTCTGAGGGCTGGGTAGAAGTTCCTTACAAAAAGTTTATTGATTTTTAATGAACTAATTCTTTATAATTGCAGTTTATTTATTATCTTTAGTATTAATCACTAATACCATTCTTAATTGCACTTAGGATATTAAGGCACTGCATTAACATTGTATAGGACCTAGGTTCTTTTCCTGGTAGTGGCTTGAAGCTTATGATCGATGAGAGATACTATCTTTGGGAAGTATTGTAAATGGTACAGGAATGCTGAGGATTTGGTAGAAACTTATAAAAAGTGCACAAATTTTTTTAATGATTTTATTTCTAAAAATATTGCAAAGAATTATTATATTTTTAAAATTTTATTTATTATAAGGTCATACTTAACAAGGAATAATAGGGAGAATCATATGAGGTATTGGAACTGCTGAAGGCCCACTATAAGTTCCTTGCAAAAAGTTTAATTATTTTTAATATTTTTTTTATTTGCAAATATTTTTTTAATAAATATAGAAATCTTAGTAATGTGTGACAAGTGTATTTGTAAATTGGTATTTCAGGAATCGAAATGTAAGCTACCATTTTAAAAAAAGGCCCCTTTTAAGTATTTTTAGTTTGAAAAAATTCAAGAACTATTGCTTTTTTTGTTACATTTAAATGTATTTTAATCTCATCTCTTAAATTTTAAAACATATATATAAATAGGTAAATAAATAATAAAAAAAATAAAACTGTCAATTTTGCTTTAGTAACATATAAAAATTTCTATCTACTCCCATAATACTTTTCATCTAGTGAATAATTTTATACATGTAATATTTGGCAGAGGTAAAATCAGATATAAGTATGTTTATTTATTTCAGAAATAGATTACAATGATTTTTGTGATGAGTGAATCAAGATAAATTATATGTAGAACAATAGACTTTTTTTGGGAACTAGTTTCTTTTCTTCATGCATGAAGGATGATCTTTCTTCTCTTCAATTCAATTTTCTGTTTAACTACGTAATCCAGGGAAAAAATAACAGTTGTTTCCTGTCTGAAACAACTAAGTCAGTTCTTTATTGTTCTACAATGAGCAAGTTTTTTTTATTTTTCATTCAAAATTCTTAATTACCCAGTTATGTAAATATATCTCTGTCTGAATAGCATATTCTGAATTCTATTTGAGTTGCAAGTTGCCTATTTTAGAAGTTTACAAATTCCTATGCATTGAAAAAACTAGTTTATTAGTTTTTATTTTTAATAAATATTGTGAGTTTTGATAATGAATACAAATTATCAGTTCTTGTTACCTTAATCTGCTAATGGTTTAATTAAAAATTTTATGATTTGAGTGAGTGGTTTGTATAAGAAATATTGTTAAAACATGGTTATTAATTAAGGTAATTAATAATTATTTTCATTGTTTTACTGATTAAAGTTTTATGTAATTTCAATTTCAAGTTAATTTTGTTATAACTAAGTCAGTCCTTTACTAAGCAGGCTTACTTAAGTTTTCTACTGTAAGCAAGTTCTTTTTTTTTTTTTTTTTTTTAAAAGAAAAGTATTTTTAAAAATCATTTAATCTTCTTAATTACTTAGTTATGTACAACTTATCTATTTTTAAGTAGTATATTCTCACTTCTGTTTGAGTTGTGAATTGCTTAATTTAATACTTTCTGAAATGTATTTAAAAATTAGTTTTCTAGTTATGAATTTTATAACAGTAAATTTTGATAACCTCAAATCATCAATTCTTCTTACACTTATCACTTAGCTTATAGATTGAATGATTTTTTAAATTTAAATTAAATTTATTTCTTGCAAAAGAAATACCTTTAAACTAATGCTATGAATAATAAATTAAGTTTATCATACTATTGCTTAAATTTTAATGTTTATTTTTCGTGATATTTTAAAATGATTTTGAAATTTTTTTTATGTGATTATTAAGAAGAGTTCATAATTATCTTTGAATTTAGCTAAGAGTTAAATCTAGGAATTTTACTTGCCTTACATCATAGTTAATATTATACACTTTATTTAATTGGCTAAGAATTTATGTATTATTTAGTATAATAAGGCAGTTACAATAAAATAAGATTAGGTACATAAAATTATGGGATTGTAACTTTTCATGTAACCTATTTGGAAATATTCAAATTCATTAATGTTAATATAATTGGTATTAGAGTTCATTATTTTTTTTGTGTGTCATTGAATTTTTATCTAATGTAGTGTAATCATAATTTTTTATGCTAAAAATGCTTTTAGTATTAAAAAGTAAAAAGCTCTTTTGTATTTTATTTATTTTTTTAAAATCAATAAGTCTTTTTTGATTATTTTTTAAAAAGAATTTTTTATGTCATTTCATAAGTATGTAATTTCATAAGTATATCGGCGTTTAAGTAAACTTTTCAAACCCCTAAATTTTCTGAAAATCTAGGGGTCAATTATACACAGATAAAAAAAAAGTGCTCATTCGTTGATTGTGAATTATTGATCCGTTATGAACAATGAGATAGATGTGAATAATTCTATATCACTTTACCCTTTTTAGGAACTATTTATGATATGTTAGTTAAATACAATTGATCTCTGAGTATATTTTCTTAACATTTTAAAGTTTTTTTTCTTAGAAATAATACTTATCCAAAGATCAGTTTGAAATATTTTTAACTTGAGAACATTTTGTAAACTTAAATTTTTATTTTGTTTTTTTAATTTTAAAAATTTTCTTATTTGGGTTTTTCAGCAGTCGACTTATACATATACACCCGAAATATCAGAAATTTGCTATTTCGTATTCAAAAATAGGGAATTTACATATAAACCAGAATATATGGTATTTTCTCATTGTTTGCTACTTAAAAACTAAGTTATTTTCTTACTATTTAGATATTTGAGTTGAAAATGACTGGAATTAAGTTTTGGAACTGATTATTTTTTGAGCTTTCAGATGTACAGTGCTAATAATAAAAAACGCTAAATAACTTTTGATATAATGATTGGATCTTCACATTCTAGGGCTCGATCTTAATGGTTCAAAGGGGTGTCCCCAAATATGGTAAATAATTAGTGCAAATTATAATTTAAGTTACAAAATCAGGCGCAAAAATGTACTTTCTCTTAGTAAATATAACTTTTTTTCGACGGATTCGGATTTCTGAATATCAAAATATTGGGGATAACCGTAATCTGGGAAATATGGTCCTAATAGTTTGGTTTAGGACCGCAGTCCAAAGTTTGGGCCCCTTAATGTTAAATTTACTTTTTGCTTATTTCACCAGAAATTTTTAACAGTAACTTTTTAATGGAATTTAAAAACTTTTGCACACAATTATTAAACTTGTTTATCCAAAGATTCCATGCAAAATATAACTTTTAATAATTATTTATTATTTTTTATTTTATTTAATAATAGTCGAAAAAATTTTAAATTGTAAGGTATACAATTTTTTCACGTAGTTTTAAAGAATGTAATTTTAAATGGCAAAATATAAAATTTGAGCGAAATTTGGTCAAATAGTTCTTGAGAAATCGAATTTGAAAATATGTATTTTTCAAAATTTGATTTCTCAGAAACTATTCTACTGATCTTGTTCAAATTTGTATTTTGATTTGTATTTTTTTAAAAACAAATTGCGATCATTAAAATGATATTAATTGTATACTTTACAATTCAAAGTTTTTGACTTTCGTCACATAAAATAATAAAAAAGTAAGAAATATGTACTGGAATTTATATTCTGAATAGAATTATCATTGGATAAACGAGTTTTATAATTGTGTGCAAAATTTTTTTGATTCACTTAAAAAGTTCTCAAGATATCGCAAAATACACAGAAAGGGAAATTAACTTTTAAGGGGTCCAAAATTTGGGAACCTCTCCTGCCCAAACTGTTCGGGACCCTACTTTCCAGATTGCCCCTTATACTTGGTGGTCAGAAATCTGAATCCGTTGAAATAAAAAGTATGTTTATTCAGAGAAAGTACGTTTTTGTGTCTAATTTCGTTTCCTAAAACTTAAAGATCCTATGATTAGATCAAAAGTTATTCAGGATGGTCTATATTTTATTTTGTGTACTGTACATATGTAATATAATTCTTTACTTTTTTAGACATTTGCATTTATTTTTGTTCATATTAATAGTCAGTTTTTTTTATTTTTGATAGATAATTATGAAGAAAATGGCTCTATATCCCAAGATGATGTTTCACCAACAGTAGTTATTCATTCAGAAAAAACAAAGGAGACAGTCCATAATAATTATAAATCTTTATTTAAAGAATTACATGATGATCTACAAGAAAAGTATGATTCTGATACTTTTGAAAATCGAAGCAACTCTTTTGAAACTAAAGTTTTAAATGTTGATGAGAATGAAATGCATAATCAGTATGAATCCAGTGAAGAACATATGAAAGATGACCTGAAAGAAACTTTCGTTGATGATACATCATCAGATTGTCAATACTCAGATGAATCAAGCAATCAAGAATTCTACTCTGTTTCATCTCATCATCCTCTCAATCAAAGTTATGTCGTGAATGATAATTTTCCTTTTGTATCCCCACCTGAATGGAAACATCGAAATTCAAATTTTGTTGAAGATAGATATAGGGTAAATTTTTTTATCATACTAAAATATCTTATTCCTATTTACTTATTTACGTAAATATAACTTTCAAAATATTTATAAAATGTGAAAAACAAACATTGCAATTTTAAATTTGGCAAATATAAGCCAGAAATCCCCCAGCACAGCAACATGTGCTGCAGATTATTACATAAAGATTATAACAATAAATTATTACATCTTCTGCAGATTATTTTTCATCTAAGCTTTATTTTTAAAAAATTCAAGCAAGCAAATGGAAGAAGTCACTGAGACTCCTTTTTAACTCTAAACTTGTTTTGAATTAAAGTTAAAAAGACAAATTGAGAGAACACCATAAATAGGCTTAACTGTATAGGAAACTATTCAATTTTTTTTTATCTTCATGAAATTCATCTGAAATCTAAACTGCTTGAAATGCTTATGTCAGATATTTAAAGACCTTATATTTGCAAATTTTGCTGCATATATTAATTAAAGCTGAAGTTTTACAATAATAATCTCTGCCTGAATATGTTGGTGTCTCAGCCAAATCAGGATTCATGATTAGGATTCAATTATATAGTGCTGCAGATTAACTTCTCAAATTCTGCTACTGGGGATATAAGGTAAATTTTTAATCATATTCAAAATATTTGCATCTAAATATTTTGAAAATGTATATGAAATGTGTATTATGGCAATTCTTAGTCTGCACAATGGGTCTTGTTATTCTTAGTAAGATAGAAATATAGTAAACTTGCTATATTCTTTTTATTTTTATCTTATTCAGGGTTAGTTTGATTTAAATCGTGATTAAAATCATGTTTTTAATCAACTGTGATTTTTTAAAAGCCATTAATTTTTTTTATAAATAATTATAATTTAGTTATAAAAGTATTTTATGCAATATAATTAATAAATGCATTCTTTACGGTATGATTGTTTAAAAGTCTGATTTCCATGATAATGATGGTATTTTATTTAGAAATAATGAAAGGGTTCATATATATAGCTCGTGTATATGAGGACTTGTTCTGTCCATGGTAACTTGGGTTAAATTTTTTTTGCAATGTTTTCTGCTCTAAACTAATTTACTCTTCATCAGATATCTAATTGACAAATAGTCTCCAAACCTTTTGCTTTCATAAGCAAGTTGAGCTTGAAAAATTGAACTATGATTTTATTTATTTAGTGATTTAGTTTTTTTCAAAATTAAATAATAATTTTAACTATTTTAGTAAAAAATATTAACTATTATGGCTATATTATTATTTTTAAATAATATTTAGCATTAATAAAACATTTATTCAATACTTTGTTTTGTAAATCTAAAAGAAAAAAAAATTAATTTAAATAAAAAAAATAATCCAATTTAAATAAAAAATATCTGATTCTTTCCCCCATTTTCTTAATCATGATTTTATTAAACTCTGATTATATTATATTATCAAACATTCAACTTCTTAATTTAAAGATACATAAAGGTTATTTTTTTTTATATTCTCATATTATCATACATCATTTTGAAAATGTTTTATGAAATTTCTATAATTAAATTTTATCAGGATCTTGTGTAAATGAAATGTTTTCATTTTTAAGGGTTCATCTGGAGCTGATGTGAGTTTGCACGATTCTGCTGGAGAATCTTTAGCAGAATTCCAGGAACAAGATTTAGCTTTTATACAAGAAGCTGATTTAGAAGATTTAAAAGTAATTTTGCTTTTTTTTATTGTATTATAATCTAATACCTCTTTTGATATTTAATATCATTGCTAAATTTTGTAGAAATTGTTTGAAACATTTTAATATTTTATAACAGTGTTGAAAATTATAATTTTTTTTCAATTCCTACTATTAGTTCACACTCTCCCTTATCTTGTTCAAATTTTCAATCGTTAATAAAATACTTTTTATTCATCCACTCAAGTTCAAATAAATTTTTTTTAAACTTGTAGTGGATGACACTTGATGCTAATACAGTTTTTTCAAATATTAATTCAATAATTAAATTTAATTAATTAATTTTTCAATTCCTACTATTAGTTCACACTCGTTATAATTTGTATTTTATTTGTATTATAACAAATGAAGTAAAAATTTTCTTTGTTGACTTAGGTAGGAATTTACTTAATTTTTTTTGTATGACTTGTTTATAAAATGAATTCATTTTAAAGCTTAAACTTTCCTTTTTATCCTTTCCAGAAAGTTTAAATATCTTTTTTGAAGTTGTAATAATATTTTTATTTTATTGTATTTAAACTTATTAAGAGTTTTTAATTGTTTGTAAAGAATATTATTTTTAAAGGTATTATTTTTAAAACCTTATATTTATTGGAAAAAAAAATTCTTTTTTTTTCCGGGTTAAATGCCTGAAGTTTTAAAAACTTGAGTATAAACAGCCATTATTTACAAACTGTATTTCTTCTCTAATAATGAAATTCAATTAATTTTTTATAGCCTTTGGATACCAGCTCAACAAAAAATAGCAATCTTGGATATATAGAGCTAATGACTGAAGATGAAGCTGCTAAGTTATTAAGTAGCAGGTAAAGCCCTGTTTTCTTCTAAAAAAGTCAATAAACTGTTAATTATATCTAATTTTAGCTTACTTTTAAGCTGTATATGTTAATCTAGTTTTTGTAGTTAAGTATGAAAATTTATTTTTTGTTGCTACTGACTAGAGATGAAGTTGCTAAGTTATTAAATAGCAAGTAAAACACTGTTTTTGTGTAAAAAAGTCAATTAACAGCTTATTTGTATTTCTAATTTTAACTTACTTTTAATAGTGTATATGTTAATCGAGTTTTTGCATTTTTTATCCCATCTTGATGAATTTTCATTTTTGTTTTCTTTAAGATATCTTTAAGTGTCTTTTATATCTAGGGAACATCCAGCATTGTTAAGTGATGAGGAGGCAAGAGAAGTAGTATTGCTTTTATCTAGATCTGATGAAAGTCATAAAGATGTGGCTGAAGAAACATTAAATGATAATTGCAAGAAGGAGGTATTGAATGCCACATTCACTCAAGGCGAATTTGATTCTACGCTCATACATGATGGTACAGAATATCATTTTCTTGAAGATGGCCACTACTATTTCGAATGTCCTGGTTTATCTCCTCCAGAGATTGAAGAAAATTGCCAACTAGAACCTGTCAATGACGTACCTGATCCTGAACACCCAATTCGTCGAACTACTAAAATATCATTTAGCACTAATCCAATTAAAGTAATTGCCATTTTTATTTTGTTAATTGGTTACTTTTATCTGTTATATGGGGAATTTTCGAACTTCTTTGGAAACTTTTATTCATATTAAGAAAGAGGGTGCAATGCAAAATTGGTTAAAGATTCAAAGTAGATGTTAAGTTGAGAGTTCTTATAATGATATCATTCCTGTTTCTGCTCTCACATTTCTATTACAACTTTTATATATATATATATATATATACAGTACAGAACCCGTTATCCGGAAATCAGAAAACCGGAAAACCAAAAAACCGGAACGAGATTCAATCAGTTTTCCCGTCATTTTTAAAAAAAAAAATTATNGATGGACAATAGCAAAGAAACTAACATAAAAAGATTAATAAAAGCTTTTTATGTTACATATATGTACTGCAATTGGTGTGAAAGAAACCTTAGATCTTATAAAATAAAAATAACCATGTATAGGAGAAAAGTTTAGAAAACAATATAGAATTTGGTTTGTCTAGCTGAAAATTAATTATTATTTTGCACTTTTGAAGAATATTTTTTTAATATTCAATGTTAAAAAAAAATATAAAATTAATATGCTAAATAATAAATATAATGAATATAAAATTTTAATTAAAGTGAAACATTTAACTTGTTTTATAACTAGTTTTAAATTTTAATGAATCAATAAAAAAGTATGAAAGATTTGTGAAATTGATCAAGATAGAGAACTGAGAAATTATAAAATGGCATCCTCAAACACGATATCAAAACTAAATAGTACATGTTGATGTTCAACTTCTAATAATTATGTGTTTGCAACTAATAATGATAAATGAAAAGTCATATTATAGGTACAGACGAGTTTTAATGGAATATTTTGTTCTGTTACATTGTTATAAGGGAACATTATTAGTGGGACTTAAAAGTCCTGTCCGTACATAAAGGGTTAATTAATTATGGCTTGGCCAGCTTAACTTGTGGACTTGGCCAATTAACTGAGTTTCCTTTTCTGAATAGTATCCATCTCCAAGCGTTGATTACTAAATGATATAAATGTTCTAAAATATTCAGTTAGGTTTTAGATTATGTGTAATGAATGTAGAAATTGTCCACAGAAAAATGACATATTATACATTTTAAACTCTTAATAGACTTGTCTTGATGTCATAAACTATTGCCCTTAATATTGTATATTCCCATATCAGATTTAATTTTAAAGGTATTGTTACTTCTAGGTTTATAGCACTCATTCTACGGAAGACTATGATAGACGGAATGAAGACGTTGATCCAATTTCTGCATCTGCTGAATATGAGTTGGAGAAACGAATTGAAAAAATGGATGTTTTTCCTGTTGATCTTATTAAAGGTAATTTTTCAATTAATATTTTTTTGTGAAGCAATAGTTTTAAATGATAATTTTTTAATTTTATAAATTTTTTATTTATTTTGTTAATGCAAAGTTTTTTAGTATAAACTTAAATTGTAATCTTGTATTTGTCGTATGATAATAAAATGTTCTAATTTTATTTAACGATTGACAACTATAGGATTTACCTTAAATACTGCACTTTATATATATATTTTAGAATACTTGTTAAAAATAAAGTAAAGAAAGTATATGTATTAGCAGTGGCAAATTAGTCAAGCCAGGAAAAGACAAATTAGATATTGAAATCTAATGAGTTACTACTTAGGAATCGATTTACTGTTTGATTGTCAGAGGGAAATGGAAATAAATGATGTCTTTTAGAAACATCTCCAAGTTTTATTTAGCAGTCAAATTTGTTTTTATGTTTTTTACTCTACTTTTCTCATTAGTTATTAGGCAGATTTTAATTGGTTTTTTGCTTTTTTTTCATTTTAATCCCACTTTGCAATCTTCAAAGTGTACATTCATTTTTTTGACAATGATTCTGAAAAGACAGGGAAACGTCTAGTTACCTGTTGTGTGCAAAATTGGTCATTAAGAGAACAGATCATTTCTAGAATTTTCACCTTTTGCCAAAAGTTTGGCCAAATAATATATTCCAATTATTAGTTAAACTTTGCAATAATAAGCACTAAAATAAATGTTTATGTTGTTTTTTTTTGGACTCTTGTACTGTTATTGTTATTCATTGTCCCTGTGACAATATTATCCTCTACTTGCACCATTATGATTTCTTTATGTGCCACTAGGCATGAAAAAGATAAGTAAGCACTATATACTAGCTATAGGTAAAGGTCAGTTGTTTAAAATGTGAATAAAAGCTCCTCTAAGTGGGTTGGAATTTGTCTTTGTTTGCTTCACTGGTTCGAAAGACAATACAATTTCTAGAAGACTGAACTCTTAATTCTTCTAGAAGACTTTTTAACATTAAAATGATAGTTTAAAAATATCAGTGTCTTAATGAAGGAATAAATGAAGGAGATGTATAAAGATGATTTCTTGTGGAAGTTTTGTTATGTCTGTTTAGGGTAGTCATTATGAAATATCCTGTATACAAATCATTCTGTTAATTTAAGATATGGTTGTCTGTTCTTATTACAGAAAAGTCGTATTACTTAAAATTCTAATTAATTTAAATATTTTTAATTTTATTAATATATAGTAAAATGGTATTTATTTTAAAGTTTAGGTATGTCGTCATTTTTCCTAAAATCAGATTCTTACATTTCTTCTAATTATTATTCTAATCAGATTTTTGCACTATTACAAAAGATTCTATTGCTCTTCGTTTATTGTTTAATACTAATCAGTTTATTGTTCAAACCAACCAGTTGCTAATAAGTTTAATATTTGAAAGTTGCATCCGTCACATAACTTTAACATAATATACTGGTTCAACTTGTCAAGGATGTTTATTTCTTTTATTTACTAAATTGTTTTGACTGTAGATGTTTGTTTTTAAATAAAACTATTTCATTTGAAACTAAAATTTTGATTTTTTAATTTTTATATTAGGTCCAGAAGGTTTAGGGTTAAGTATTATTGGAATGGGTGTTGGAGCTGATGCAGGAGTGGAAAAACTTGGTATATTTGTGAAAACAGTTACTCCAAATGGGGCTGCTGATAGAGATGGAAGGTACTTTCCATAAAGATGTTCTTACAGTAGTTTCCATTAAAAATGCTTTGGTTAAATATTATTGAGCATAGAAAGAAAGCACTTCATTTTGTTTAGTTACCCTAAGTTCACCTTGCAGCTCTAATTTCAGAATAAAATCTCAAATATGTGAAAGGTTATGTCCTTGACATAAGTTTTGTAAAGTGTATTAAAATTTTTTAGTCTTGCTGCAATGTCTGCTGAAAAGAGATTTAATTTTAAAAATATGAATTCTATTTTTCAAAAAAATATTTTAATGGAAGGTTCATATTTGTGAAGGGAGTTTAACCATAAAAATTTTGATAATTGTGTTTCAAATTTCTACTTAAATGATGCCAGATATTTATTATCAAGTTGAAAGTGATATAAATTTTTTTTAATTTTCATGTTAGATACTCCAAATAGTTTTTTTTTATATTCTTTTTTGTTAATCCTTTTAATTTTAACAAATTTCAACATGTATTTAAATAGACAATCTTCATAAATAACTGATTAACACTTGTAAGGCTTTTAACACAGTCAAGCTAAACTGATGCAAAATATGATTTACTTCTTATTTTATATCAATTGTTTTGGCACTTTTTTTTATTTTATTAAGCATGTATTGTCAGTTTTAATTAGAAATGTGCTTCATTTAATGAAGCTTTCTACTGGATACCAATTCACATAAGAATGTTTGATAACAGCATAATGAAATTTCATGTGAATTGATTTATGTGTTAATTACATGTGTCAGTCAAATTAAAAAATGTGGTTTCTGGCAAGTCACCCGAGATAATCAAAAGAGTTTTTGCCAATATCTTATTATAACTTTCTAATAAAATGTGTTTTGCTTTTTAAAAAAATGCAGATAAGAAGTGTTACAATAAAATTACTCTTGAAGTTTAAAAATTCTAATTCATGTGTTTAATCAAGTTTTTGTCATTTCTTTTATATTTTGTGAAGAATCAAAGTCAATGATCAGATTATAGAAGTTGATGGAAAATCCCTTGTTGGTGTAACTCAAGCTTATGCAGCCACTGTATTAAGAAATACTTCAGGACCAGTGAGGTACATTTTGTTTTGCTGATATTTTTTAAAATTTTTATTTCTATTCTTATTTTTTGATCTTGAAATGTTTTCTCCAAAATAGGAATGTAAGGGATTTGGCAGAATACCAAATATTTGACAAAAAAAAAAAAAAAATTTATCATATACCAAATTGGTTAAGTGGCCGAATAGTAACATTTTGTTTTTAAAAAAGTTAATTACTAAATATTTTTTAGAAATAAATAAGTAATCATTGTTGAAAATTAATCAAACATAGCTATATTGTTTGACCAAAGCTATATTGTTGGTTTTGGGTAAAAAACAAACAAACTATAATAGTTAAACTATAACCATTAAAAATATTTAGAGTAAATAAAAAACTGCCTAACAGCTATGAAAAAAAATGAAGTTGAAAAAAAAGAGAAATAGAAACAAAAATCCTTTTAATTAAGACAAAACTTAAATGTTTTCCAAAAAACAAATTATAAATAAAATGATAAAAAAAATATAGTCTATTTGGAACACTTTTCAAAATGCAACACTATAATAAAAATGTCCACGAAAAAGGATTATATAAAAAAGCAAAAAAAAAAAAGAATGGAAATCAATCTTAATTCTCGAAAGAAATTTTGAAGCTGAATCTCAGTTTTCTAACTATTGTATCAGGGTGGCCACCCACCTGGAAAACCTGGAATTATCAGGGAANGAAATCTGATTCGAGTGGTCACCCTGTGTATTCTCAAGAAAAAGTTTAAAAAAAAAAAAGTTAAGTCTAATAGAAACCCTTTTAATTAATGCATCTTAATAAAAGCATTGATTTTTTAAAAAAGAAAAAACAGGATAAAAATCAAAACAAAATCATTCTTAATTTTTAAACGGAAAAATTAATGCTAAAAATCTCAATTTAACTTTTTCATGTTACCTTTTTTTTGTTGAAGAAGTTATGATAAAAGAATAACATTCATTAGAAATGCTCTATAAAAATGCTGTCACAATGAAAACGCTGATAAAAAAGTTAATAAATGCAAAAGAGAAACAAATAAAAATTGTTCTTATTTTTTAAAATATAACTTTAACGTTGAAAATCACAGCTTTTTTGTTACTGGTTATCTGTCTTACAGTACAGGAAAGAGTAACAAGAAAAGAATAAAATCTCAGAAACATTCCGTTCAAATGCTACGTAATGAAAACAAAAAAACAACAAAAAAGGAAAAAATGTTTCTCAATTCATAAAATGAAAAGTCTTGAAAAAACAAGGAAATCGACCTGCTTGAATATAATTTTAAAAACAATACAAAACAAGTACAAAACATGAGGTTCTGTTTAAACTGTTCCAGTTTCAATTTTTGAAATTTCCCTTTTCCATTTGTCTTCCAGAATGTAAATTTGCAAGCTCTAAAATTTTAAAACTCAATAAATCTGTGTAAAAATTATTTCTGATTATGTAAAATAAAAAAAAACAAACTACAGTCAAACTCCGCTATAGTGGACACGGCTTATAGTGAACTCCCGGATATAGTGAACGAAATGCTCGGTCCCGTACCTTGCTATACACGTATAATGTTATTTTTAGTGGATATAGTGAACCAAAAAAGTGAGGAAGTTGGATATAATGAACTTTTTTCTGTCTTCGACTTATTTCCCCCCATTTTCTTTGCAAATAATTTTGAAATTTCTACTTCAAATTAAATACATATACCTATTTTTAAAACCATCTATAGGAACTACTTTAATGTGCTCGAATGGCAGGTTAGACAGGTTCAAAAAGCGGAATAACAGAAATTCGGGAAAAATTATCTGAGAGTCGGGAAGTGTTTCCATATCTGATGTTGAGAATTGCTCATCAGCTAAAGATTAAAAAAAAATTTTTGTACGCAAGACGAAGAGTGATGAAAAATAGCACATTTTTTGCTACTACATAATATTTTTCAGTCATTTATATGAATATAATGTAATAAAAGGGAGGAGTTTGGGAACCATTAGTGAAATTGCCTGCGTAACGGATATAGTGAACTCCCGGTTATAGTGAGCTAAAATTTCGGTCCCTTGAAGGTTCACTATAGCGGGGTTTGACTGTATTTTATATAATTTTTTATTTAATCTTATCTAGAATAACTGTCAAAAAATACTTTTCCACATAATACTTTACCCAATATTTGGCCAAGCATTCGGTCAACCGAATATTCAGCAAACGAGCCGAATAGGTCAAATTCTGAATAGTGGCCAAGTATTCTTTTTAGTCCCTTTTCCAAAGTAGGATATACTCTTCTTACTGATCTAGAATTTAATTTTTATGGACTGTGAAAAGACTCACTCTTAATCACTTCCTTTTAAAAATTTTGGGTTGAAGGTTGACTTTCTTTGAGGAAGGCAGTGCTATTTTGGGTACTAAATGTATAAATTCTATATTTTACTCATCTTCATTAATATTCATAGTTTATCTCTCTCACTGACGTTTAGTTTTCAATAACTCTTAAGTGTGCTCTTTAAAGCTGCATAAATGTTTAGCTATCCCAAACACATCATGAAATTTTTTTCCCCTTCTTATATATTAATTATTTACAAGTGGTAAATAAGAAAAAAAATTGGATTTTTTTGGTGTGGGGGTGGAACAAAAAGGGTTTTATTTTGATTGTTAAAAGTATCGTTAAATATAATATTTCTGTAGACACTTCCAGGATGTATGAGAATTATTTAACAAACTATGGCATCCAACAGCATTTAAAGAAAGATAACCAAGTTATGCAGCCTCCTTATGCAACCACAATAAATATTTTTTTATTTACCTAAAAACTTTTCTTGTGTACTTTATTTATTTTGACAAAAAAAAAAAAACGTGTTGCTGAGGCATGTATTAGCTATTTAGTTTTTTCTGAAGGTATTGGTTAGGTTTTTTTTAGTCAATTATAGTCAAAACATTTATTAAATATAAGTAAGTAATGCTTTTGTATGTTTTATCAATTTCTTCAGACTCATTCTTAATGAATGGAAAATATTTGTGTATGAACTTATCTATAATTATTTAGTGAAAGATTTAAATAAGAGCAATTGCATTATTAAAATTCTACTTTTATGCCCCCCCCCAAAAAAAAAGAAAAAGGAAAAAAAAGGAGATAAATGCTTTTAAAATTTCTAGTTTTACCTTATATCACTTTTTGCCTCTTTTTTGTTAGAAACTAATGTAATTGATGTCTCTTTTAAGTTTTATTCAGTTTAAATTTCTTTTTATCTTTTGCAGATTTGTTATTGGACGTGAAAAAGATGGAGTTCAAAGTGAAATAGCACAGTTGATTTCTCAATCTCTGGTAGCTGACCGTGAAAGAGAAACTGAACGGCCCAGTAGTGACTTTGCTTTTGATAATAGAGTGAGTATAGTTATTAGTTTCACTGCACAATTTATTATTGAGAATTTATACTTTTATTGATTTTAGTGAGGAGTTATTTTTGTTTCTTCGATTTTTAATAATCTCAAGTCTTTAATTTAATGTTACTTCAATTTTTTAAAAAAATGTTTTCTGTGAGTGATATCTTTCTAAAAAATAGTGCTTTATTGTTTGTATTAAAAGTTTTGTGTCTATATTTATGTTTAGATAAATATAAAGACAAAATATCAACAAGATAAAATGTAGTATGCAAGGAAAGATATACATGTAGCACTTAATTTAATGCTCAACTTTCATTTCTCCCTTTATGTTAGTTTTATCATATATTTTACAGGAAATTCTTCATTACACTAAACCTTAATTAAAAGAAAAAAAGACGAAGGAAACATATCTTTTCCATTTGTAAAATTGATATATTTTTTAATCATGTTCGATTAATGTATTTTTTTTATTGTATAGAAATTTATATATTGATTTCGTACATATAATTTTTTAAACATTCTTATTTTAATTTTACACTCATTCCTTCATATCTCATTTCATATGAATTTTATCATGCATGTTCTCTGAATGACATGTTTCAATAATATTGTATAAATTTTGTTTTCAGTTTATCAATACTATTTCCTCTTATTTCATTTGATATCAGCTACACTGCATTTCTTTTCTTAAAGCAAAAGTATTTATTATATCCTTGTCTGCTATCTAGGTTTCCCATTTTTTAGTTAATGATTTTATTTTAAGTTCAAAGTACTTCTTATTTAATTCACAAGCTCGAATCAGATGAAAGAGGTAATGCTAAATAGCATTATTTTACTTAATTTTCAAGGTGATTGGGAATCCCACTAAAAATCATTTCAAAGATACTTTTTAGTATTCATTGAATGAAACAGTTTAATTCTCTTTGATATTTTTCAGAGATATATATGATTTTATTTTTTGTCTTCATTACGATGAAATTGGAAAAAGGGATATTCTATATGAATTTGTGCCTGCTTTGGTGACATAAGTTTCAAGAGGCACAAAAAAGGAAAAGAAAGAAAAAAGGGGAAGAAAAAAGAAATAAGCAGAAACAATTCTACTGCAGTTAATTAAAATTTTTTTTAACAGACAAAATATATTTAATTAAAACTTAAACAAAAAAAAATTAAGTTAATTGAAATATTTATAAAAAGAAAAACAAATTTTAGAGAGAAATTACAAAGAGAAGTTAAAAGATGGGAAAAAAAGCTAAACATCCTATTCTGATTGTATCATTCCGCGAACTGAAGAGTTCATGGGGTGACTCAAACAGTTTTGGTTAAAGTTACGCTCGTTACAAATTCATTTAATTTTTTTATACTGAATACTTATTTTAAGTTTATATTCATATTTTATCTAGCTATTTACAATTTCGTCGTATTTTACCATTATATAACTATTAGCTACTTATGGAACTTATGATGAACCCCTCATCACACTTATTTTTTAGACTATATAAGTTTAGTACTTGAAAGTAAGACTTTATAAGTTTAGTACTAAAACTTGGTAAATTTAGTAAGTTCAGTGCTGTATTTTGTAAATTTAGTGATTCATTTAGTACTCTCTTTATTGTGTTATTAAGAAAAACAAAATGGCCCATTAAATATATTGATTTTATTAAATTTTTTTATGTGCAAAATAAAATTTTTATGTTTAAAATTGATTTTGTTAAAAAATAGTATTGTATGCTTACTAGTGCTTATTAGCTACTTTGTTAAAAAATAATATTAGTTATACAACTGTTTGCTTCTTACAGAATTTATGATGAACCCCTCATCACACTTATTTTTTAACTTATTAAGTTTAATTCTTATAAGTTAGACTTTATAAGTTTAGTATATTAGCTTGGTAAGTTTAGTAAATTAAGTGCTTTAGAGCAGTGGTGCGCAAACTAGGGGTCGCGACCCCTGTGGGGGTCGCCAGAAGCTTTTTGGGGGTCGCCAAATTTTTATGAAATGCACTATCCCTGCATGCTGCATACCATACAGTGTACATATAAAGAGTGAAGCGCCTTCACTCACTGTTTAATTGCAATTTCATGCTGTCCACTCTTTCTTTGACAGTAATGCGTAATGTATGTAAAGTGTGAAGATGCAAGTTTTTCACTCCGTTAGATAGCGCCCTCTTCGCTGTAATTCGCCAGTTTTACTGAAAAGCGCCTATTTGACTAGACGTTAAACGCAGGGAAAGGGAAAAAATTCGCTTCCGTGATCAGCCAATCAGATGGCGAGGTACGCGGTGTAACTGATAGTCAGAGTGAAGACGTGAAGTGTTCGCATGAAGTTGTAGCATGTAGCAGTTGGCCTGCAATTGGTTTAGTTTATCCTCAAGTTTTATCATGTGACGTTGTGTATGTGGCGTCAGCCAGATTAACTGTGACTGTGTATTAACTGTTTAGATTTAGTTTCAGTTTGCATTTATGTTTAGTTTTAGTTTGTGTTTGTGTATCTCGTTAGGTTGTCATTAAATGTGTTTGCGAGATGCTAGATCTTGCTCATTTATTTAATAAGTATTGAAGTAATACTTAACCACACAATGTAAATTTGAATTTTTATATTTTTATCGGGCTTTGCTACTCTTTGTTATCAGGTAAGTACTATCATTAGAGAAAGATCTCTGATAATTTTATTGAATTTCTCGAAAAAAAATGATAAAATTTTATATATTATTTGTTTTAGTTTAAATAATTCGACCCCTATCTTAATTATGGATAAATGGGTAATACGTACACCAGGTACATCTTCAGCTAACAAACGAACAAATACTGATGAGGAGTCGCAAAATACTGAACTAAATGCCCGATCTAAAAAAAAAAAGAAAATACAATGAGGAATTTACTAAGTATGGTTTTACATTTTGTGTTGTTGATGATGAAGAACGCCCGATATGTGTCATTTGCAGCGTAAAGTTAGCAAATGAGAGAATGAAACCAGCTAAATTAAAAAGGCACCTGGAAACTAAACATAAAGAACTTCAAAATAAACATGCCGATTTTTTTCAATGACGAGCTGAAAATCTGAAAATTCAAAGTGCACATTTAAAGAAATTTACAACAATACCTCAGAAAGCATTACGAGCTTCTTTAGAAGTTTCTTATCTAATAGGAAAAACAATGAAACCCCATACAATTGGAGAATCCCTTATCCTTCCTGCAGCAACTAAGATGACATCAATTATGCATGGCGATAAATATGGAAATGAACTAAAAACAATACCATTATCAAGAGATACCGTGTCTCGGCGGATTTCCGAAATGTCACGAAATATCGAGTCAGAAGTCATAAAACGCATACAAAATTCATCTGTATTTGCTTTACAACTGGACGAGACTACCGATATTACTAAAATGTCACAACTAATTATTTACGTTAGGTTTATTTTTAATGAACATATAACAGAAACGTTTTTATGTTGCAAAAATTTGGAAGGAAAAACAACTGGAGAAAAAATATTCGAAGTAATAAATGAATATTTTGAAACAAAGTCCCTTACCTGGGCAAACTGTGTTGCGGTTTGTACTGATGGTGCTGCAGCATTAACAGGTTCGAATAAAGGGCTCAGAGGCTTAATTCAGAAGGTGGCGCCTCATATGGTATTTAATCACTGTATGATTCATCGGCAAGCTCTTGTTGCAAAAGATATGGATGAAGAGTTGCACAACGTATTACAAGACGCTGTTAGTTCAATTAACTACATTAAATGCAACAGCCACAACAGCCGTCTCTTTTCAATACTTTGTAATGAGATGGGCTCAACGTATGAGAGATTACTGTTACACACCGAAGTCAGATGACTTTCACGTGGGAAAATACTACGACGGATATTTTATTTGAGAAATGAAGTATACATGTTTTAAATCGAAAAGAAACATAGATTGGCAAGTTATTATATCAATGAAGTTTGGCTAGGGAAGCTGAGCTATTTAGTTGATATTTTCAAAAAACTTAACGACTTAAATTTGAGCTTGCAGGGTGAGAATTCAACTGTCATAACTGCAGCTAGTAAAATTCAAGCTTTTAAGAATAAGCTTAGTCTCTGGCAAACTGAACTGAATAAAAACAACACATACATCTCATTAAAGGGCAATTTACTGATTTTTGTGTTATACAAAAAGTATTTTCTTAAAATTATAAATAAAACTAATATGAGTCAAATATGATGATGTTTTTATTCGTTGAAACTAAAGAAATGCGCGAAATTTACATCGTATTTGTGAACATTTATCTCTAGGGGTCGCCAAAAATTTTCTCTTTACAAAAGGGGTCGCTTTCGAAAAAAGTTTGCGCACCACTGCTTTAGAGTGTAATTTTTGTAATTCATTTAGTACTCTCTTTATTGTGTTTTAGGAAAAATGAAATGTCCCCTTAAATGTGTTGATTTAATAAATTTTTTTTTATGTGCAAAATAAAATTTTTATGTTCCTTTCAAAATTGATTTTGTTAAAAAAATAGTTTCTCTCATTATAATTTAATATCAGTTATATTATTTTATCATACTGATTCAGTAATATTAACTTTTTAGGCCCATTTTGCTAGTGTGATTACAGAAAATGAACTGAAAAAGGCTAATGAAAAGGTAAGATTGAACTACATAAACTGCATTACAAAAAGGCATATCTATTAGATATATTTTTCATTTGAGTTACAAATCTACATTTTTGTTTCTGATTATCGAAGTTCTATTCAAGGTTAATAAAAATTTAACTAGACAAAAAAAAAATTAAAAATGCAGTCACAAATACAGTTACATTTTTAAGTTAAAATTATATATTACATCTAGTAATTATTTCTTTGCTAATTAACTACTGTATAATACAATTTTCAGATTTGTCAGTTTTATGCTTTTGCGAAATATTTTTCTTGCTATAGTAACAATGTTTTCACATGGTTAGGTTTTTAAGTGCTGGGTAACTCAAGCAAATTTGTTTGCTGCTTAAATCTTTGTTAAACAACACTCACATTGAAAGGTGATTATATGATATCTGACTTATAGGTTTGTAGTGATTTGGGGTTTTAAAGAAAATCTGAAAATTTTAAATTATAAAAATTTCAAGAGTGTTTTTGAGTCTTTTGGAGAATTATGATCTGAAAGTGAACTAACACATAAATAAATAAGAATTATATTGTATTCTCTGAAGGTTTTCATTGTTTTGGATTTGATTGCTGTTCAACACTTTTAAGTCATTTTTTCATTTGTTTTCTTGCAATGAATTTTCCTAAGATCTGAGAAACTTCTAGGGTATTAGTTGCCATTAAAGTTTTTGAAATTTAATATTCTTAAATACTTTTTTGTTAAAGCTACAAGCAATGGAACACATGGAGTGTGACTACATAAAATGGTTAGACATGGCTCAATGTCAAGTTGAAGAACTAAGTCTTAGCTTACAGAATGTTGAACAAGAGCTGTTGCAAAACAAAAGTGACTTAGATGCATTACAATGCAAATATTCAACACTTGAAAAGAAATACAGCAGAGCCAAGAAATATATAAAAGAGTTTCAAAAAAGGTAAAGTCTACAGAATTTTTTAAGATTATTTTTTTGTTGGAATTTTTTAATTTATATTTGTTAATTTTTTTATGATTAAACACATAGCATTCACTATTAGCATTCATAAAAATAAACATATACTTTTTATGCTAAGATCAGTAAAGGTTTTTCTTTTCTTTTTTAAAAATATTTGTGACCTTCTTGTTGAGTATCCATTTTAGCTGTGTTTTTTTTATAGATTTTATTAAATATGCAATGACTTGGCTTTTTTTAATTAAATTCTAATTTTGCTTATAGATTTTATTAATGTATTAATTATTTTATTATTTTATGAGAGGGAGTAGAGTGATTTATTTAGTTCTGATAATTTTTTCAGAAAGAATTGTTAAAAAAACATCATTTGTTTCCTCCCTATTTAGTGCTTAAGTCTTTGACTTGGAAAATTTATTTTTATACTGATTCATTTGAATAAAAATTGTTTTTCCTCTTTATTTTGAAACATTCTAGTTGTTAAGGTCTATTCCCCCCAGAAAATAAAAGTTTGTTTTGAAGGTATTAATAATTTGTATACTCGACCTGCTCAGTGCTTATTAATTATTTTTGCAGAGAAAAAGAGCTTATTCAGTGGCAAGAGTATCATGTTCAACAACTGCAGGAGAAAGATCAAGAATATAATGCTTTGGTAAAAGCTCTAAAGGACAGGGTATGAATTACATTGCTTACAATTATAATCAATAATATATACATTTTTATAATGACACTTAATTCAATTTAAAATGATTTACTTATTTATTATGTAGATAGTTTATTTTACTTTTAAAATATTTAAAGTGATGATTTAGTTGTGTTTTATTGTAATAAAGCTTACTTTAGTTATTTACTTCTGTCGCGCTAGAATTTTTATTTATTATAATTTTTCATGGAATAAGATCTTACTGCTTTGTTTCTGTTTTTAGATATTAAATGATCTTTTTTTTAATTATAAATTTGTAGTTAAATTTTAAAAGAAATTTAAAATATTTTTCAGGTAATATTGCTTGAACAGACTCTTGTGGAGACTCAAAAGCAAGCAGGTTTTCCAACTGGTCTTCCTTATAATACGCCTTTAAAACAGATCACTCCACCATGTAGAAATCTTGTCAGTCCACCTAAATTTTTAAGTAAATTTTTTAGTTTTCTCTTTTCACTTTATAATTAATCTTTCCTTCCTTGTTCTGCTGTATTGTATTTTTCTCCCCACTATAGTATTTTCATTGTAGTGCAAGTAATATGATCTTGTAGTATTGCGTAACCATAAAGCGATAATAGGAATTAAAACATCGAGAGATATTTTTAATGTATAGTATAAGTCTGTTCTATCAACAATTCAGAAAAGTAGATGAAATCCTTGTTACAACCAAATACATATATTTAATGTTGAAATAGCAATTAAAATGAAATAGACATATTAACCTCTTTTTTTGTTTGTTTTGAACAACTTTGTTGATTTAAAGTATGTATCTAGAGTAGACTGTTTTTGCATATAGATTGTAGGCTGTATGACATTGCTTTGCATTTTGGAAAGGGCAAAAACGCCTACAACAGGATTGTTTGATCAACAGAGTCTAAATTTTAATAACATAATTGTACTTTTTCAAAACTGCCTCAAGTTTTTGCAGAGAGAAAATAAAATGAAATACACAAACAGTTTTAATGTTAGGGATATTAGTAAATGTTGATTTTAATAGTAAGCTGGCAAGAAGAGAAAAAAAGGGGCACGATTGATATGTGATAAAAATAAGTCACTTTCTTTCGAAGTTCATGGTTGCCTTATGAAAATAAGGGGTGAAGATTGTAAGTAAGAAGCTTTTCACTTTTCTGTATCAATACTAGAAATAATTAAGTTTTCTTCCATATAAACCTTTTGGTATTATATTTCTCATTTAAACATAAAAATTGATTTCCCTAAAAAAATTTGTCGTAGGAGGGCTAGTAATTTTTAATTTGTTAAAAACTTACAAATTTTGTATTTTTAATATTATTATTTTGACGATGACTTGAAAATTTGTCACAATAGTAGTTTAATATGTTTTTCTTGTTACATTAAACTTTTGTTTAATTTTAATAGATTATATTTTACATCAAAAAAGGGAAAAAAATATGCAAGGCAACCCAATTATCCTGTGGAAAATTTAGTAAAATTTTTTTTTTTTTTTTTTAACAAANTGTAACAGTTAATGATTATTATTCTAAAGGACTTATTATATGTATTATTTTGAGGTTATTACCTCGTCACAGTAAGACATTTTTAGTTAGAAAAAACAAATTTTTTTTTCTTTGATTTTGAAATAATTTTATGATAACTATGGCATGACATGTTCTTCAAAAAATAAGATATTGTCCATCTTTTTTTTATTTTTGCAACCAATTTTATTCTACTATTTTTATTAATGGAAATTGTGAGAATTTTTTTTATATATGTCTAAAAAATGTTTTGTAATAATTTTTTGAAATTAATGTTCTTAACTAATGTTTTATAATGTTTTTTTTTTTCGAATGTTAAGTTCAGGTCTCTTATCATCCACTCTGTAACATAGTTGCATTTATATTCAAATGTGATTCTTTTGATATAGGAGGTTAAATTTTGAATTCTAAGAAATATTTTTTAAGGAAGGAAAAAAAGCCCATTAAATAACTTATTTCAGTATACCAGTTTAGAATAACCCTTATGCTTATTCTATAATATTTTTCTTTTTTTATACTACTCTTAACTTTTAGAAATGATATTTTATTTTTTGTCATTAATGATCTTTGTTTTTGCTTTCAAAAGTTTGACTATTAGGAATCATATTAAAAATAAGGCATAAATGAGAATTGTACAAAAATTATTCTGTGGTAATTGAAATTATGTTTAATCAGAATAGAAGTACAATAATATTCACTTTTGTGTAATTAGTGTGAAATAAAAATTGCAACTGCCTTTTAATACTAACAAGAAGAGATGCAGGCTGAGGTAGGCTAAGGAATACAGCCGTATTTAGCAAACTATTTAAACGTTATTGAAAAAAATATCCAGTTTAAAGAAACAATATTTTATCTGTATATTTTTAATAATTACTAAAATAAAATTTACAACTGAACTCAAAAGGATTGATTATTTTTTTAGAAGTTCAGTGCTTTGATCTGTCTGATAGTGAAACATCAGATAGTGAATTGCAGTCTCCATTTAGTCCGGATGATGAGTATTGTGATAAACGTGCCACATTAGAAAGACGACCAGACCGTGAAATTTTATTTGATACAGCGGTTCCTCATACTGAGCTACTTGATACAAGTGCAGCTAAAGCGAAGGCTGAATTGGCAAACAAAGGCAGTTTAGCTAACAGACAGCCCCCGTCTATTAAGAAGCAATCATTGTCTGATTCTGTAAGTCATGTCTGTAATCAGTATTTTAAATAATTTTTTTGTTTTTTAAATATATTTCATTATTCATAATTGTTCATACTTAATTTGTCAAATTTCTATATTTCTGAAGGATACTTGCTCATTTTTTTTGAACAGTGTGAAAAAAAAAAAAAAAAAAAAACTGGCCACCCTGAATAATTTTTGATCTAATGATCAGATCTGCGCGTTCTGTGACTTTTTTTAATTGTTCAAGGGGGTGATTTCAAATATGCTATTAATTAGTGAAGACGATATTTTAAGTTATGAAATCAGACACAAAAATTTACTTTCTCTAAATAAACATACCTTTCCCCCCTGCAGATTTAGATTTATGCTTCCCCCCCAATAAAAGGGGAAAAGGGGGTAGCCGCAATCTGGGAAATAAGGTCTTAATAGTTTGGTTAGGAGAGTAATTCAAAGTCTGGATCCCCTAATTTTATTTTTTGCTTATTTCGACAAATTTTAAGTAAATTGAAGGATTTTTGCACACAATTATAAAATTCATCTATCCAGAGATAATTCCTTGCAAAAAATAAATTTAGTAAATACTTAATATTTTTTAATATTTTATTTAAAAGTAGTCAAATTTTTTTTTAATTGTTAGGTATAAAATGTTTTACATCATTTTAAAGTATCTCATTTTACATGGAAAAGTACAAAATTTGAGCAAAATCCATCGAATATTATCTGAGATTTGGCTCAATTTTGTATTTTGCCAACTGAAATTAGATACTTTGTAAAGATGTGAAAAATTTAATTCATTACGGTTCAAAATTTTTTTGACTATTATTAAATAAAATAATGAAAGAAGAAATTATCTTTAAATAAACAAATTTTATAATTGTGTTCAAAAGTGTTTCAATTTGTTTAAAAAACTCTCGAGATATGGCGAAATACACAACTTTAAGGGGTCAAAAGTTTGGACTGCTGTCCTGACCAAACTATTAGGACTATATTTCCCAAATTGCTGCTAGCCCCTATATTTTTGGTGTTAGAAATCCAAATCTGTTTAAAAAAAAGTTATGTTTATTCAGAGAAAGTTTGTTTTTTGTGTTTGATTTCACAACATAAAATATCGTCTGTACTAATTAATTACCGTGTTTGAAGTCACCCCCACAAACCATTAAGATTGTGTTCCAGAACGTTGAAGTCATTTAGTTGAAGTCATTCAGGATGGTCAGTTTTTTTTGGTGCACTGTGCATTAAGTATATCTTGCTAAACTTCTGTAACTTGATCCATCTTAGTGTTCACTTTACTTTATATTTGCTTTAAAATATTCTTTAATATTTTTTAAAATGATTATTTTTACACTTGTTAATTTATTTTTTCCAGTCGCCTGATAGAAATTCTGTCTATGATATCTTTATCAATCCTTCAGAAAGTTTCCAGTAAGTAATAGTTTTGCTTCATATAATAAACTTTTTATTCACACAGAAAGCACACTTAAAGGCTGCACATACTGAAAAAATAAAAATTAATGAAAGGAATGAAAACTAGTACAACCTCGTTGTCGTGTACAACAATAAAGTTATTCCAATAGTAGTACTTCTTAGATTTTTTCTATATTATAAAACAAGTAAACTATAGCATATTTAAGCAAATAATAATTTCTGTACTCTTCTGAATTTAATAATATTATATTTTTATAATAATTATTCTAATTAATATTTAATAATTATTTCAAGCAATATGAAAAATTATTTCTAGCAACACATATATCAGAAAAGTACCAGTAAAATGCATTTTTTTTGTGTAAATATTATTAAAACAAATTAACTTTTAAAAATTTAATGTTTGAGTAATTATTCGGCATTTTTACAACTTTTTACCTTTATTTATTTCAATATTTTCAGATAAGGCATGTCTCATTTATTTTGAATTTTCTTAAAACATTTTTTTTAAAAGTTTAAATTACAATTTTTGCATTAAATCCACTATATATTTTTAATTCATTCTTAGAATATTAAAATCATGAGTTTTATTTCATGTGTTTGTCTTTCGATAACATAATTAACAAGCAAGTAAAATCTTATAATTGTCACACTTTTTCAACAAAATAATAATATCAAACACATAATTAGATTTTACTTGATTAAAAGCTTCACTTCAAACGTATACAAATTGGGGATAACATTCGACACTTTTTTGTGCTCAAAAACAAGTGTCCATTTTCAGGACTTTTCAGTCATTTATATGTTTTATTTTTGAAGTGAATGATGTTTTTAATCAAGCAATATCTTACCACTTCAGCTTCTTTTGATTATTTAACTAATATAATTGGATTGTGTAACAGAATCAATGTATGATAATATAACAACCTATAAACACATGATTTGGTTATATTAATTTATTAATTACCACATTGATTTCTTATTTTATTTAGGAGATTATTAAAAAATCTACTGTAACTTATATTTTACCATTAATTTTTAACCTACTTAAGATCATAGGATATCATAGTTTTGTATGGCCGACAGTTTATACTTAAGAATATTATTTTGCCAGTTTATTTTTGAGTATATATTAATTTATGTAATTAAAGTATACACTTTAATGTGACAAATTAGACAGTTTTTTTCCCCAATGTATCGAAGTCAACTTAATCATTAGTTGTAATGCTGCCAGTTGCTTTTGAGAAAAAAAAGAGCTTAGTAAAAAACATTTAGTGACATTTTATAGAGTTTGTAAAAAGCATTTTAATATTGTATAGAAATGTTTACAAACTGGTTACAAATCATCTTTTTTTTTTCTTTGAAAACTGTTAAAAGTAAATTCTAACCTATTCTTAGGATTTGAGTATTTTCGATATTTGAATTTTTTTTCCACATAATTTATTTAACCACTAAACTAACTCTTCACTTAATTAAAGAAGAAATTGATTTTTTAAGGATTATTTTATTCATTACATAAATTACTATGGATTTATGAAATTTTGCCCATATTATTTGTTGATTAAGTTAAAATCATTCTCAGAGAAATATTTTTTAGGTCTAATAACAAGGAAAAAGATTGCAACACTACTCTGGATGATTTTTGTGCCATGATCCGTCATAACTCTTCCGGTGATGATCTGATTGATGATTCTATGTGCCAATCACCTCCAATGACATTGTTAGAAGAAATGAAAGCTGCTGTTGCAGCCCGCCAAGCTCGAAGTAATTAAACTGTTTTAGTATTATTTTATGATTAGTATTATTTTATTATGAGGAATTTCGCCACAGTTATGTTCTTTAATTTTATTTAACTAATCAATTGAAAAGTATTTCTAGTCGTATTTTGTTCATGTAAAAATCAGATGAAGTTTATTCCTTATTATCTTAAATAGTGAAATGAAAATTGCAAAAGTTTTAGAATTCTTTATGTTACAACTTTCAAAATTGTAATTTTCGATGTATAATTTTTTCTGAGAAAATTCACTATAACTGTATTATTTTTTTAAACAATATAATCAGTAGCCAAATTACTGTCTAAATATGTTTTTAAGTTGTAGTTCATTTTTATGAAATAGATATTTTTGCACTTGCATAGTATTTTCAAGATTCTGAAATTCAAATTTTTTTAATTAAAATTTATACAAACTGCAATTTAAAATATAACATACATAATTTATAAAAAAAGTATTTTTAAAAAACTAGTTTTTTTTATTCCTTTCAAATTTTACACCATTTTTATTTAATTTTAAAATTTTAATAATAATTCCATTCAACTTATAGGTAAAGAAGTTTCTCAAATAATAATGATCAATCAAATTTATTAGTGTTTTGCATTCACAGTCTTTCTGGCAATTTAGGATTTTATAAATTTTTGAAACATTTTTGTCATTGTTTTAGGGCAATTTAGCTCAGCATCTTAGAATCATGAGAATATCAAAAAACTGCCTACTCGAAAATGATATAGGAACAAATCATTTTTCCAAACGAGTGAATTTGTCTTAAAAACATTTCAATAGTTTCTTATCAGCATTATTCTTATTCTTATTACTTCAAAAAATATTAAACTTGTGGGGTAAAATTATGGGAATTTTTTCCCGGGTCACCACCAAAAAGAAATAAGTCAAGGAATTTTATCATTGTGAAAAATTAAGATAAATGCCAATATATTCAACTGAAATGCCCAAAATTTCCTAGGAAATGAACAACTATATGTTTGAGGTACCTTAAAGTTCAATATTTTTTTCCAAAAAAATTGGATTTGCAAAAAACATTTTTTATTTTCTATCTTAAATGGCACATATTAGTGTTTAGTAAAATATTTTATGTTTAAGAATAAGGCCTAACTGAAAAATTATGTTATAAATCTTATAATACAAAAATCAGAAAATTCTATAAAATCTGCCTAGATTTTTTTTGTTTTTTTTGTTGACAAATTTTATTGAGTTAAACCCATCCAATCCTGATAAAAACATATTTAAAATGCATTATTTGCTAAAATGTTAAATTTTTTACTAGCTAATATTAATATTTCTTTTGCATGTTTTAGTAAATCAAAGTGCTTCTTCAGATGACATATGCATGTTTGATCAACTTGATTTTAGCCACGCCCAAGTAATGACATCACAGTCTTGCGAAGTAATATCTCAATCTTCATTTGAAAGTTATACAAAAGTAGAAACAACCTTTAGTCGTGAAGTTTCTCATTCACAGTCATCATTGTATTCTACATCTAGTCAACAAAATCCATCTGTCAAATCTCAAGGCAACTCATCAGATGTCTCAGTTTCAGATCACTCTGTTACTGCAAACAATGCTGGTAATAACAATGTATTCTTTTACGAACAGTGGAACCTCTCAAGTGCGACCTCTCTCCATCCCACAGTAAACTTAGTACAGTAGGGAACCGATTATCCGGAACGATCGGGACCATCGCTATTCCGGATAACTGATTTTTCCAGTTTTCTGAATCGCTAGAAAAAGCCGTTTTTTTATTGCTAAACCCAACTAAAAAAAAAAACAAATTTTTTTTTGTGGAAATAATCTTAAAAAGAAGGAAAAACGATGAAGTAATACACTAATGATTATTTCCAAAATGATGGTAAGGTAAAAATCTTTCAAAAAAGAAAGAAAAATCCTAAAATCTTATGAGGAAAAAGACATTTTTTTAAAAAAAATGGCTGAAAAATTTATCGAATTTCGTTCCGGTTTTTTAGTTTACCGGTTTTCTGATTTCCGGATTACGGGTTCTGTACTGTAATATATTTGCAGAAAATTAATTGCTTTTAATTATTAAAATTTGTTCAGAAATAAAAAACTAATACTTTTTTTTTAAAAATCAATTTTTATATCAAAAATAGATTTATCAAAAATAAATAAATGAAAAAAAAATAAATAAATATACATTGAAGAAAAATGTTTGTTTAAATTTTTTTTTTATATTATTATATTAAAGCTCATTTTAAAATAAATTTTAATAACAAAAAATGCTCGCAAATGGAAAATATAAAAAAATTAAATACATATTGCTTAATATAAATTCACATTAAATATTTTAATTGCAGAAAATTCATAAGGTTTAAGCTAAAGCCTAAAAAAAAAAAAACTTTATAGTTCAAAATAGGATTCAATAATTATTTGGTAATAAACTTTAGTTATTATTTCTTTTTATTGAATGATTAGATTTTTTATACAGTAAACATTTTCTTTTTTTTTCTTAATAAAATCATTTAAGCAACAAAAATTTGAAATCAAAATTACAAGCAGTGAGCGGTTAAAATTCACGTTTTCTTCCACTTTGCAATAATATTGTATTATAATATTGTATCCCTCAACTTAGTAATAATATTGCATTATAACTAGGGATGTAACAAATATTCTGCTCTTTTGTCAAAAATTTAGTTGCAAGAATGATTGGCCAAATATTCGGCAGAGTATTTTTTGGAAAAGTATTTTTCTATTAAGATTTTTTTTTTGGAATTTGTGTAGACATAATAAAAAATCTGAAATCGTATTTTTAACTATATTAGGTATAGTAGTTTTTTCACATTTTTGTGATGTTTTAAAATTAATGTGCTTGCAAATTTATCTTCTGGAAGATAAATAAAAAAATGAAATTTGAGGGATTGAAAGTAGATTACTTTATGTTAAACCACTTACGTACTTCTCCCTCATTTTCTAACTATAGTCAATTTCGTCATTTTTAGACACTTTTAGTTCAAATAATTGAGATGTTTTTTTTTTCTTTTTTTGGTTTCATTTTGCATGTTTTATTATAGTGTGGTATTTTAGCGGAACGTTACAGTTAGACTATTTGTTTATTGTCAGTTTTTTCCTGTGCTGTAATGTATATAAAACGGTAACATAGAAAACTGTGATTTTTAATGTTTGTTTTAAGAACTAAGAATAATTTTTTTCCTGTTTTTTTCTTTTGTTCTTTCTAATAGATTTTCATTTATCAGCATTTTGATTATGACACAGCATTTTTTAAAGATCGTTTCCAATAAACTTTATTTTGTAAAAAATTTTTTTTTCTAAAAGTGTGGCAATGTGAAAAAGTTAAGTTTTTCAGCATTAGATTTTCATTAAAAAAATTTAGAATGTTTTTTGTTATTGTTATGTTGTTTTATTATTGTGCAGCAATTTTTAAAGCGCCTTAGTTAGATTTTTCTTCGTTCATTTTTTCTCAAAAATCGGAAAACTAAGATTTTCTACTTTAAAATTCCCTTTTGAGAATTAAGATCGATTTTTATTTTCTCTATTTCGAATTTGTATATTATCTTTAGTTTTTAGTGGTGTTTTTATGATAGCACTGCATTCTTAATAGTGTTTCTGATAGGCTTTATTTTTAACTTTGTTTCATGAATAGGTTTTTCCAGAAATATTATTTTTAGTGTTGAAATTGTGGTTTAAATGTTGCTATGCTGCTTTTATTTAAATGCACGATTAGAAATTCATATGTCGTAATAACATAGTAGTAAAAATAATAGAATCAATATCATGTGGAAAAGCATAGAAATAATGGCAAAGTTTGCCATTATTTCTATGAATTCTATTTAGAAAAAAAAAATTAAAAATGACTTAAATTTACAAGAAAATAAGCACAAATAAAGTGTGTCAAAAGGGCTATTATAAAGCGTGTCAAAAGGGCTATTAAAAATTTGAATGCTGTATTAAAAATTTTTGAATTTTTAAAACTACGTGGGAATGCATAGCACAATTGCCCCTAAAAATTGTTGTAAAACAGAAAGAAATAATTGCAATAAAATATGAATAATTACTTAAATTTACAATGAAGTCGGCATTAAAAATATGTGTCAAAAATGATTATTTAAGTAGGAGATTTGAAACTCGCATATGGTAATAATATTGTAATAAAAAAACGTGATATTTGAACTTGAAATACGTGATATCTCAACTCGAAAAGCGAAAATAACTGCTTAAAAAAATCATTTAGGTTTTCATTAACATCGCCACAAAACGTGCAAAAAAGTGATTATTTAATGTTGGGATTCAACTTCAAGATTCATATCACATTAAAAATATCAGGATTTTCAAAACGTTATGAAAATACGACGTTTTTATGAAAATACGTCGTTTTTACTGCTGAAAAATAACTACGGATTCTCGAGGAAATTAGCACAAATATAATGCATCAAAAACTGATTACTTAAATGTGCAATTTGAAACTCAGGTGTCGTAATAATATCTACGTAAAAATACAGGATTTTCAATTCATGTGGAAAAGCATTGAAATTACTGTTCAAGAAAATATTTGGATTTCCGATAAAATCGGCTTGAAGAAAGTGCGTTTAAATGAAATTATTTAAATTTGTGATTCAACTTCGAAATTCTTATTATTTTCGGATTCATAATATCAACATTTTTTAAAAAAACTCCACACATGGAGATCGGTATTTGTAAGATTGAAAGGTCTCTTCGATTTATGATGAAATTGGTAAAAATAAAGCTAGTCTCAAAAACTGATCACCGAGATTTTAACTTCGCATATCATTGTCGTATTAAAACTTTGGGTTTCTTTAAACCTTGCGGAATTCCATACAATAACTGCTGAAATGCGATTTTAGGAATAACATAGATTTACTATAAAATCTGTGAAAATTAAGGGTGTCAGGAAGTGATGACTCAAAAGTGCGATTTAAAATTTTACACATTCTCTTTTTTTAATTATTTTTGAATAAATTTAAAAAAATTTCATTGTGTTTAGGAGTTCCCACGGGCCGCAAGCTGTGCACCCCTAGTTTACTGCATGTTATATCGCACAAAAATATTTAATTTTATTATCTGTCATTATTTGTACATTAAATATCCATTTGCAAGATGTCTAATCTCGCTTTGTTCTGAAACTTTGCACTTTTGCCATGTGCAGTCATGCTTTCATGATCTGCTTACCTTCCTTTCCTTTTATTTTTTTCTACTTTGGCTGACTGCTTTTATTTACCACTTGGTGCTTTAATTTTAGTAATAGACTACAAAAATTTCATATTCCTTTACAACTATTTTCAAAAATTCAAACTTGTTTGTGACTTGTCTATTAAGCAGTGACTATTAGGAAAACTAAGCTTAATCTAACAAATAATTAGCACAATTTGAAAATATTAAGTGTAATTAAATTTTTACAAGAACTTTTTGTTTAAATTTAATTTGAATTTTATGCAATCATACATCAGTTTTGCTACTCAAAAGGTGGGAAAACAGATATTTATGCTATAAGCCCAATAACGAAATTAAAAAGAAAGGTTTAACTTGCATATGATAATATTAAAGTAAAATCCTTTTATTTTAAAGAAAAAAACTACAGAATTGTTATTTATTGTGTTCTGATTTTATACTTAAGTTTATTCAAATGAAAGTACCATATCATCACAGGTACTTTGCAGGCAAATTGAACAATATCCGGAAGAGAGGAGTTCAACAATATACGTTAAAGAGTCTTTTTTTTCTTCTTTTCAGTATCAATTATAAAAAAAAGAAACTTTCTTATTTTTAAATGTCAATAGAAAAATATTTTCTTCTTATCGTTAATTTTTACTTGTATTTAGTCATTTCTGCTGATAATTTTTTTAAAATCTGCACTGGTAAATAATCTGCAGATGATGTGATAGTTTGCTGCCCCCACTGCCCTGCTGGGAGGTGTATACACATAGGAATAGAATACAAATACAATCTTAAAGATAAAAATAAAAATATTTAATCTTTAATCTGTACTTTTCATTAATTTTTTTTGTTAAATGATTAAATGATATTTATTTATTGATTTTCAGAAAGTTGCGTATCTCTTTTGTCAAATGATAGTAATATTTCAGAGCCTTCCTATCATAACTCTCAAACTGAAAGTGCAACTTCACTTTGTTTGGTAAGTATTAATTGCTGTTGTTTATTTATTCCAACATGTTGATTCCTAACTTTATATTTACATAAGCTTATTAATAAACTAATTTATTGTGTTGATATGATTGCTTTTCGAAGCAAATAATTTTTTAAAAATTGCACCGGTTTATCCTATCAGTATGTTACTTTGCTTCATATTTTTACTAAATTTTGCCATATGTGTTCGTAGACAAGCATTTTCTTTAAAATAGCTTTACATTCATTACAAGATAAAAAAAACATGACTTCGATGCTTAATATAGTTAACTTTAGTTGTGTTATGTTGGGGATAACTGATTTATTATGCATTGAAAAGAATTAACGCTGATTAAAACTATTTTTCCAAGCTTCTTCAATGATATAGAACTGTTGCTCCAATTGTATTAAATGATAATTTTAGCATTGAACTATCAAATATTAAACACTTTTTGAAGTTTAATTATTGTTTTTATGTTGTTAATTACTATTGTAGCTTTTCTTCTTTCTGTGCAATTACTTTTCATTATTCTTTTCATAATTTTTGCTTCATAATGAAATAATCTTTTTTAAATTTTGTAGTTTATTGTCTTCAGAGCAACTTTATCTTGTGTAATTGATACTTTATAAATAAAATAAAGGAAAAATATATAATATTCATATGGAGTGCAGATTCAATAACAAAACCAAATATTTTTATTAACATTAATTATATAAAAATTTCAATTTTCAAGAAATTTTTTTGGTAGCTCTGTTGTCATGGTTTGGCATTTTAGCATCCTAAGTTCTTAAAAATTGAGCATTTAAAGTACTGAAGGTACGAAATTTTATTGAATCTTTAATCTTTTAAAATTGAATTTTTTTTCTTATGTTTACCTACAACAAATTGCTCTACACTTAAACCAGCAAGCATACTATATTCTAATTTTAAAAAAAATGATGAATGAACTGAAAAATACCATCTAAGTAAAATTACAAACCTATTAAAACTTTTAGTTTTTTTGGGAATTTTAATGATAATTAAAATTATTTTTTTTATAATATAATCAGGGCTTCCTTGGGTCTGGGAGAATCTGGAATTATCCAGGAATTTTATTTTAACTCTGAAAAGCAGGTAATTGTCAGGAAAAGTTGCAATTTTTTACAAGAAACCCGAAAAATTCTTATATCATTCCCGGAAAATAACTAGTCTTTGAATTAATAGTAACAGTAACATAAATAATTCTAACATCTATTATAATTATTTATTGTAAAAATTTCACATTTCAGTCTAATTGATACATTTTCATTCTCATTCAGTGATATTTTATTGCTTACAAAATTTAATTTTTGGCATTACAAAAAAAGAAACCAAGTTTTCTGATGAAAAATTGCATGGTTTAAATAAAGTATGGTCTGGATTTTGTTGAAATTTANTTCATATAAAGTATGGTCTGAATTTTGTTGAAATTTACCTGATATACCTGAAAAAGTTAGTGAATCATTATTCTCAAGAGTTGCATGTTTGTCAAAGAGGGGTCAACTGTCAAAGGGTAACTTTGGCTGAATTCTCTGCTGCTATGGTGGGGGATTAGAATATTTACACCATTCATTTATTTTAGCAAACAAGATGTGTGATATTTAATATTGTTCTTTGGTTTCTTTTCAGTTAAATTTTTCTTGAATTTGCAATTAGTGGATATTTGAAATTTATTTCTTCATTTCAGGATGAGAAAACTCCAACTGCCCTTTTATCTGAACCAGTTAATGAGTGGAGTGCTGAGCAAGTAGCTCTTTGGCTGCAAGCACTTGGTTTTGATCATCATGTTCCCCAATTTTTAGCCTCTGACATAACAGGCCAAATTTTGCTGCAGATTGATAGTTCACGATTAAAAGTAAGTTTTAAATATCTTAGTGATGCATTATTTTGTTCTAGAAATAACCTTTAGAGAAGATTTAATAATTATATTGTCGGACACACACTCTAAATATTCTGAATGGGCATATATTTTTTTATTCTCTTATGCCTGGCTAGGAGTAAATATTTAGTCAGAATTGCATCAGAAAACACCAATTTAATGCCTTTTTCAGAGTTGGTTTATTTTTAAAAATATATGAAATTAGGTTATCTTATTTTTTATTTATTATTTTAATTATTCATTTTTTTATTAAGCAAAATAAGCCCTAATTGCTGCAAATAAAAAGTAATTAATGTAAAAGTTGAAATATGAAAGCAAAAAGGAGAGTGATATTGTTATAATAATTCAAACTAAATATCTGCATGAAATCTTTTATGAAATTCAACAATGTCAAAACAGATGATTCTTTTTACTTGTAAAATTTGATTAAAATCCGTTCCTACTTAATTTCGTATTTCCTTTTACTGTTTTGTCTTTCTGGTAAGTAGGAAGTAGTAAGTAATTGCATTAAGTTCCTTTAAATGAACATTTATGTTTTTATTAAAAAGCATTCCAGACTCACCTTTTCAGCCTTCCTATTGATGAGTTTTTAAAATTGTTAAATAAGAAAATATAGAGGGCATTATGTCATCATTCTTATGATATACTTGTTTTAATAATAAGCTATATTTATCTGAATTGTTAAATTTGAGCTGATTTAAATTTTTTAAGATTTAATTAAAATTGAAACATTCTTTTAAAAGTTCTGTTTATTGTAAAAAAAATTGTATAATTATCCTTAAAACTACATAAAATTATGGCGAAGTAGTTTTTATGTAAGTTTATGTGAGAAAAAGTAGTATAATGGCAAAAAATATAACGTGTTTTAAAACTAATGTACTGTACAATAAAAACATTTGAAATTACCCTAGAACAAGTATTAAAGACATATACAAGCTATCTTAGGTTCATGCTTGTGGTTCTAATTCTAGAAAACTATTACTTATGAACACACTGGGCAGATATCAATTATAATTTGAAAACAAAATACTGCTTTTAAAAAAATATACAAAAATCAATAAATGTAGAGTGTACAGAACATTATAAAAAATAAATACCATGTTCAATCCTGTGAAATTATGTACAATAGAAATGTTTGCTTTTTAATATAATTAGAGTCATACAAAATTCATGCAAACAATAAATATTATAGCATTTCAAATTATGAAGAGCATGTTCAATCGAAAGTTGTTGTGAAAATTATTACTTTTAATATTTTTTTTTGGCAGCATTGGAAGTAGAATTCTGTTTTCCAGTTTGTGTGTTTCCCACCTAAAAAAAGCTAGGTTTCGCTATTTCTCTGGTTGTTTGGCTGTTCTTTGAGTAGGAAAAAGGACATAAAAGGAAATTAATTTTTTTTGGGGGGGGGGGGAATAACCGAAAGGTAGTACTATTGTCTTTAAAAATATTTTTAGCACATAGTCTTATTTAAAATTTAATCCTCTGAGCGTTAGTCACGACTTTTTCAAAACTTTCAGTTGCAGTCTTCCCTGCATCAAAAAACAAGTCTGCATTTGAATAGGAAAATAATGCATATCAGGAAAATTTCTTCATAATTTCCCACAAGGGCTCAGTGATTGGAGGGTTAAGATGTGTCGTAGCATTCATTAGAAACTAAATATTTTTGATTTTATTTAAAATGTTACTAAATTATATATTTTTGGAGAATTCTCATATCAATGATTGGTATTTAGTTTTAAGCATTTTTTAAATTTTTTATTCTAGGTTCTGGGTGTGTTAAGCAGTGCTGAAAGAAGTATTATAAAAAAGAAAGCAAAAGAAATGAGATTGCAACTAGAGAAATTGCAAAAAAGCTTAGGAAAGGAACAAAAAGTAAAAGATAAATTATGGAGACGAAAATCATCTGGGAAAAAATAAATATTAAGTTTCTTAATTTGTTATGGGAAATTTATTGTACATAAAATTTGTGGATATATACTTAATAGATTCACATAAAAGTTTGTGAATTGAAAGTTTTGTGTGTAATTGTTATGCATGATAATTTTAATGCTGAGCAAATATTTTTATAAGTACAAGGTGTAATACCTTATAAGAACATTCCAGATTTTGCATTTGTGATATAACACTATTTTTTGAATGATTTTTTTTCATTATCTTTCTTTGGCTTGTGAATTGACATATCTCAATGACTATTTTTGAAGCTTAGTGTTTTATGTAATCATTAAATAATGAATCAAACACAATATTTTATGATGGAAAAAGTTCCTGTATTGTATTAATAGATTGACGCTTTTTTGTAGTTTGGCAGCTTAATTTTTTTTAATTTGATTTTAAATGTCAGAATTGGGAGTTTGTTTTTTGTGTTAAATTTTTTTTAAAGTTTTTCTTTTAAATGTTTATGAGTGAGCACCAAATAAAATTCTTGCGCTTGTTCATGGTAATATGAAGTTATAAATTATAACTCTCAATAATTTTTACAACAATATATACGTATATTGTGTCTTTTAGTCTTGTTCTTAAACTTAAGCTAAATTAAGTATTAGTATTTAGTTGAAATTTAGCTTTTGCTGCAATTTTTAAAAATAAAAAATTGCATGTGTCTTGTTTAAATGATTCATCCATGACTTAATGATTAATTATAAATATAAAAGGAATTAATTGTATAAGTGAATCTATAAAAAATGTTTAAAACCAAGCCTTTAAATTACTTATACTAATATTAAAATTATATACAAAATTAAATTTTCAAATTTATATCTAAAAAAGCTAAACAAATTTTCAATTCCTAATTTTTAAAAAAATAGTGTGTGCAAATTATGTTGTTTACTCGAAATTTACTCTTAAAGTACAATATAATTAATTCACATTGAATTTGTTCATAATATGTTTTTATAAGTATAATGTCTGATAAATTTTAAGACGATATGTATATGTGTTTTATAATATTTTTTAAAATCTTAAGCAATAAGTTTTTATATTTAGTTAAATTTTGTAAGATAAGGAGAAGTTTAGTAGCCCTTTAAATTCTATTAACTTAAAAAAAAAGAAAAAAAGGAAAATGCCAATTGTGCTACTTTTAGAAGTTATATACCCTTAAGCATGCATCAAGTTTAAGTTACGTTTTAATGCATTAATTATAAATATAATTTAAAACAAACCTGTAACAAATATCTAATTAAGTTAATGTTTTGGAAAATCAAAATAAATTTATCAAGTTTATAATTTCAGTTTTAATTCATTAGTTATAAACACAAATATATATTCAGTAATAAATGATGATTAAAAATCTGAACTTTTAAATCACTGTTTTGAAAAGTTGAAAGGACAAATTATATCTATTTTGTGCTTAATTATGAGCTAAATTGTATTGCATCAATTATGTTGTAAATTTTTTAAGTAAAATTTTTTTTAATTTATAAATTTTTTTTCATGTAATTTTACTCGTTCCTTATTGAATGGAAATTATCTCAATACATTTATTACATCTCGTTTCTGTAAATATCTCTCTATTTAAAAGCCATTAGAGTATTCCTATTTGTTACTCTGACAATGTATAAACTGTACATACACCTTTACTCTTTTAAAACTGCTTATTATTCTAAAATTTGTTAAAAAATGACAGCTAGCTATATAATTACTTTAAAAAGAGCTGTATGATTCTTTCATTTGAAAATATAGAATCGCAGTCAGAGAAGTATATTTTAATGAAAAATTTATTTAAATATTATAATTTATCTAAACTCCTGATTGCATATACTATTATTAAAATGCAGCTTCTATTAGAAGCTTACATCTATTAATGTCAGCTTTTTAATGTTATGAATTATCATCTGTTCCATTTTCAGCTATAAATCATTTGCATGAAAAGCCATTAATATTTTTAATAACTGAAAGCACTATTATTCAATAATTTATGATTTTTATTATTTAAAAAATTTGTTTAATCAATTTTAATTAAATGTTTTACTAATGTTGTCCCTTATTTTCTGTTTAAGTATTCTTTATTAAAAATTTCTTAAAATTTATTTCTATACTTAGGTTTAATTTTTATTAATGTCACTCTAAAGCTACATTAATGGTAAAATTTATTCAACAGAGACTTAAAAATAAATATTTAAATCATTATAAGTGCTAATAATTGTAAATAAATAATGATCCAAATCATATTTTTTTGAATCATTGTTTAGGATTTTTTTGGACTTCATGTTATTAATTGTCCAGTTTATAACTTATTTGTATTCATTTTAGTTCCATTATGTAGTTAATTATTTAGTATATTTTTAATTAATGTTCTTAATTGATAGTGATTGTGGATTTGTATCACATTATTTAAAATTCAAAGTTTTATTTAAATTTTTAACATTTTCTCCCTTTTTTCAAGAGCATGAGAAAAAATAAAAAGTGCTGCTCTTCAGTTTTAGTTCCAAAAAATTTGTACTTTGTTTTTCTAGTTCTGTTGAATTTTTATTTTAGGCCTTGTAAGTCTAATTCCTCACTATAATATTGCAATAAGAATGATAATGCATCTATATTTGAAATTTCAATGTGACTTGTGAAATAATTTTTTTATCAATACGAAGATATTAATATATTAAATTTTGTTGTTATTATAATTAATTATGTACACAATTTTTTTGTGTGCATATTTTAAGATATTGTTTATTTGCAAGCAAAGAAAAACAAATGATTGCAAGCAAAGAAAAGAAAAATGTTTTTTTAAAATTTATGTATTTAGATTGATAGCAGCTTTTGTATTTAAACACTTGAAATTAATATTTTTATAACTTTTTATATTCCTGGTGATAAATATGAGGCTTTTAGTTTCTAAAGCAACTGTTTTTGGTTGTATTAGAGTAACCTAAGACAGTTAAAGAATTCCACTAAAACTGGTAAAAGCCTGGAAAAAAGTGGATCAAGTTGGTTTAAAACCAAATGCCTTGTATGTAATACTTCCTCTCTATTTTTTTTTCAGTTTTCATTGTTTCATTTTTTTATTATAAAAGTTAATCATTATTTTTTTTTAATAAAATTTTTACCTTTGAGTGTTTGTAAAGAAGTTTTTTTTCCTTCACTCAACTTTTTGTTGAATAAAACTTGTTTGTAATGCTAGGGAGTAGCTTGATTAAAATACTGGCATATTCCAGATTTAACACTCAGAGTTTGAAAAATCCCACCTAAATTTTTTTTTTTTTACACAATCTAAATATTGACATTTTCATATATTTTATAATGATTATTTGAACTGTTATTCAATTTTTAATTTAATAATTTAAAATTTATGTTTGCTAGAGTTTCATCATATTCATTTAATTAATTTTTTAAAAATCTTATTTTGATTGAAATATTATAATGGGGAAATATTACTTTTTCTGTATCATTGGGCTGGACCCTTTGTTTTAAGTGTATTTATTTTTCTCACATAAAAATGACTCTGAAATAAGTGTATTTATTAAAAATTGTATTTTTAAAAAATTGTACAAAATTGTATAATTGTTTATTTTTTCATGGCATTCAGTATTAAATAAACTTGGTTTTTTAAATTGTTTATTTTAAATTCTTATAAACCATACATCAGCATAATTAGCAATTCTTATTATAATTTTTATTTATTTATTTATTTTTTAATGAAATAGCATGCTGATGTTTTAGCTTGGAAATGTTATGGGGATCTAGGAATGAACATTAAGTTTTAATTTAAAAATATTCAGATTGGTTCTTTGTAAGAATTGAACCAATTTAACAATTCAATAAGTGGTAAAATTTTTAAACTGATTACAGAAGTGTCATTTACCAATTTTTATTTACAAAATTGTTTTATTTAGTCTTTTTTTTGTAGAGTTTATTAAAAAGGATTTTCTGATTAACAAATAAATCATCACTACAAAATTTAGATTGGGATCTTCCGAACAGTGCACTAATTATTAATTAATTTTTAAAATATTGTTTCTCTGCATTCAAAATTAAAGCAACAAAACAACTTTTCTTCAATTAAAGTTCTGATTCAGAAGTATTGAACCCAAATAAATTTTATTCAGACTATTTAATACTCAGATTAGCTCTCAGTAAGAATAGAATATTATTAAAATTTCAATAAATAGGAAAATTTTGAAACAGATTACAGAAGTATGCTTCAATAATTTTTATTTGTGATATTGATATACTTAATGTTTTCCATGAATTAATGTTTTGTAAAAGCAATAATATAAGTATATAAAATTATTCTGTGATCTTTTTTTTGTATTACATGAACAAATTGTCAATAAGTAGTTCAGCGTATTGCATAAATTAGGAACTGTTGCAATTTTTTCTTCTTTTTTTAAGGGAAAAAAAAACTTTTTCACATACTTTAGGATTGGAGTGGAGATTATGTACTTTTCAGAGATTACATGATTATTAGTATTCTTAATTTTTGCCACCTTTTCTTTTCTCTAAAATCGTACATATCCTGCTCTTTACAAAAATTTATAATCTTTATTTAACAGAAAAATACTGCATTAAAGTAAATTTGATAAACTAGTTTTGTTTATAATATTTTAATTTTAAAAGGTGAACATGTTTCATTAATAAGTACATATTTTATTAATAATTTAAAAAAAATTCATTATTAATTAATTATTTTTATTATTTATTATTTTTTCATTGATNCGTCGGGCTACCGAAGCGGGGGTGCCATCCCCTCCGCAGAGGATCAAAATTGTGATGGCATGTCTTCGGATCATCCTCCGGGATGTTTCCCAGACCGTCGCCAATAGCCCATTGTGCAGCTCTAGCGCGACGTAAATTAACAAACAACAACAACAGTTTTTTGGTTTTCCGGTTTTCTGATTTCCGGATAACGGGTTCTGTACTGTATATAAAATTATTCTGCGATCTTTTTTTTTGTATTACATGAACAAATTGTCAGTAAGTAGTTCAGCGTATTATCCGAGATGGGCATTGTATAAATTAGGAAGTGTTGCAATTTTTTCCGTGCTTTTTTTTCTTCTTTTTTTAAGAGAAAAAAAAACTTTTTCACATGCTTTAGGATTGGCTTCAGAAATTACATGATTATTAGTATTCTTAATTTTTGCCACCTTTTCTACTCCCTGAAAGCGTACATATCCTGCTCTTTACAAAAATTTATAATCTTTACTTAAGAGAGAAATATTGCATTAAAGTAAACTTGATAAACTAGTTTTGTTTATAGTATTTTAATTTTAAAAGGTGAACGTGTTTCATTAAAAAGTACACATTTTATTAATAATTTAAAAAAAAAAATTCATTATTAATAATTTTTTTTTATCATTTATTATTTTTTTCATTGATCATTATTTTTTTCAATTCATTAATATTTTTTAAAAAATACATTTAAAATTTGGGAAAAGAGGAAACAGGACTGTTCCCTTTTGAGACAAAGAAAAAAAGAATTTGATATCTGCCTTTAACGTCACGTATCGGTGTTTCTGACGTTACTTGCAGGTAGGTACCCAAGGGGTTCTGTCTTTTGAATCATGGCATCTGTTTATGCCACGATTCAGCAGTCAGTCAGGTTCGATACCCTAGCTGGACGTCGCTTGCAAGTACCCGAAAGAGTACTTGCATCTGGAAATGAAGAATACTGCTGAAATCACTTGGTTCTGCATGACTGTGATGTGTATGGTAGGTTAACATTTAGTTATTAGGCTCGGTTTATTATGTCGCTGAATAAATTTTTGGTGCAAATTTAATTGGATACCCGCAAGTGGCGTCACGCGTATCTTCCGAGAGTGATTGTTTGCTCGAATCGTGGAATAAGCAATTAACACGATTTTCCAACGAGTTTGCAAGTATCCAATTAAATCTGATCCAAAAATTTATTCAGCTGTCTTTATGTTCTCGAGTTGCTTCTTTTTGAGTCGAATTCAAAATGAGATAAAAGTTATTTTGATTTGTAGAAATTATTTTCTTCGATATCGATTTAAATATCAGAGGAATTTGTCAAAAACGAAAATTACTTGCAAGGTAATACATAGGAATGTGTAATCGTATAAGATGACGATATTTTTTTTAAATACTTTAATATAAAGATAAATTCATTTTTTCTCTCCAGAAAACGGTTATAGACTAATTTATTACATGGCAAACGGTGTTTCTAAAAGTTATGCATTGCATATTTTCTTTGCTCAACGCCATGTTTTTGTGGCCATTAAATTAATTTCAATTCGTTGTTTTTGATTAATTTTCTTTTTTCATGTAAAATATTTCAATGCATATAATATGACAAAATAGGAAATAAAAAGCGTGAAACGTTGTCGACAATAGCTTTATTTTTTGTTACTAAGTTTAAAAAAAAAAAAAAGAAGAGAACAACCAAGAAAAAATTGGTTCAAATAATCGAAATAAAAATACGGAAGAACCAATCTTTCCCTTTACATCAATATGATAAACGACTTCGTATCAACAAGAAGGTAATTTCAATTTTTAAATTCATTGTGTTATTCTTTTATGTTAGGACTCCTTCCAACACAATTTTCGATTAACAGATTGTCAACGTTTTGAAAATGATTATTGTTTCAATTGTATATTCTACAATTAACTGAATGTAGTGTATACTTGTTCCGATCAATCTATCACAGAAATGTTCTATAGTTGAATTAATGGTGCTGATCGCCCCTAAGGCTATAAGTGATGACACACTGTGCGACCTGATACAATTTAATGTTAGTATAGGTCGTTACTAAAATTTATTTGAGTCATTGCCAAATAAGACAGCCCAGATAAACTTAAGACTATATTAATGCTATTATTAATATGATGTGTATATTGCCATTACTAATATGATATGTATGAACGAGCTTAATAGTCATTGACGATAAGTTGTTGCTTTAATAACAGCATATTGTATTTGCAATGCAATCTTTACTGGAAATAATATAACCATTTCAAGTAGCTTCCTAAAAAGAAGTTACTGTATTTAATCTTATGGTATTGGTAGTAAAAATTTATTCCGTAACTCGGCCTTTTTTTAAAATTCTTTATTTGATTTAGATTATTTGGATGAATTAGACTGGCTGTTCCAAAAAATAACATTATTAAAAATGCGCGTTTTCAAAACAATAAATTTCACGGAGAAAATCACGGTTATAAACTGGCAATATAGAATTTCAATATAATTGAAAGGCAAATACTATCTCGTTAGCACTTCAATATTACTGAAAAAAATTTATGTAAGTGAGCAAAATTTCAATGAAGAGAAAAATTATAATATGCAAATGCAAACGTAGTTAAAGGAACCACTATTTGAAGTAGTACTAGATCGCACCCAATCATCTAAGACAGGCCACAGATAATTTGGTGGGATCTAGTTAGGCTACAGCAGGCAGCATGTGGTCCATAGCTAATGCGGCTCCGTTGTTCTTTTTTTTCCAGACAGCAAAGCAAAATGAAAAATTTTTTTGTAGAAAAAGTTTTTAGTGAAGATACTTTTCAAACGCGAGTAAATTAGATTTTTTTTTTAGTTTCCATGAAAACTAATGCATCCATTATGCTATTTCACCCTTTTCCCAAATCACACAAAGAAAGATGTTAAAATTCACGCTTTTTATTTTATTCGAATTTCAATATTTGATTTTGTTTCGTATAACTTGATGAAGATTAGGCAATTTTGATCAAGGGCCGGCCAAGTGGCCGAACGGTTAGCTAACCTGACTGCGAAGCCAATGGCTGCTGGTTCGAATCCCGCTCTGGGCATGGATGGTTCTCTCTCTTGTGTTGTCCCTCTGTTGTGTATGATGTGTGAATGTTTCCCACCCTATGAACGGGTTTGTGGCAGTATGGCGTGGGTAATGTTACTTGCCTCCTTGACTTTGGTTCACAGGTGCCCACTGGGCAACGCGAAATGAGTAACACCTCTGGCATCTTCTAAGGCGAAACGAATAAAGTTCAGTGACTGCCATTCGAAAAAAGGTCGTTACCCTCTCTGCTCAGCGAAAAAAGGTCCTGGGTATGAACTTGATTACCTTGCTACCTGCTACTAAACGGGTGTTACTGATTGCAGCCTTCGGACATTTAAAAAGTATAACTAGCTGCTAGAGAGCAACGCACCAAATTATTAACTGTTAAGATATTACTGTTTATATTAAAATTCTCTATCATTTTAAGGTAGTTTGAAAGTTATGATTTCTGTTATTTTAAATTTTACGAAATTAACTAATATAATAGTTTTTTTTAAA